ACCCACAAGGACAAGGGGGCAGAGGGAACACTTATACACAGACTAATTAGGGGATTAGAACCAGGTGTGTGTGATAACGAGACAAGACAATTGTGATGATGATTGGGGCGGCAGTGGTTAGTACTCCGGTGACGACGAACGCCAAAGCCTGCCCGAAAAAGGAGGGGAGGCAGCCTCGGCCGAAGTCGTGACAGTACCACCCCCCCCCCCCCCCCCCCCCCCCCCCTCCACAAGGTACTGAAGGCCCCCCACCCGATGCCTCGAATCCAGGATGGCCCAGACAGAGTACACCGGGGCCCCCTCGATGTCCAGAGGAGGTGGAGGTACCTCCCGCACCTCAGACTCCTGGAGCGGACCAACCACCACCGGCCTGAGGAGAGACACATGAAACAAGGGGTTAATACGGTAATCAGGGGGAAGTAACAACCTATACGTAACCTTGTTGATTCTCCTCAGGACTTTGAACGGCCCCACAAACCGCGGGCTCAGCTTCCGGCAGGGCAGGCGGAGGGGCAGATTCCGGGTCGAGAGCCAGACCCGATCCCCCGGTACGAAAACCGGGCCTCACTGCGGTGACGGTCAGCGTTGGCCTTCTGACAACGCACGGCGTGCTGGAGGTGAACGTGGGCAGCGTCCCATGTCTCCTCCGCGCGCCAAAACCAGTCATCCACCGCAGGAGCCTCGGTCTGGCTCTAGTGCCATGGTGCCAGAACCGGTTGGTAACCTAAAACACATTGGAATGGTGTTAGGTTAGTAGAGGAGTGGCGGAGAGAGTTCTGTGCATATTTCGCCCTTGGCAAGAACACCGGCCACTCCACCGGCCGGTCCTGGCAGTAGGACCTCAGGAACCTACCCACATCCTGATTTACTCGTTCCACCTGCCCATTTGACTCGGGGTGGAACCCAGAGTTCAGGCTGACCGAGACCCCCAGACGTTCCATGAACGCCTTCCAAACCTTGGACGTGAACTGGGGACCTCGGTCGATATCCTCTGGCACCCTGTAGTGCCAGAAGACGTGAGTAAACAGGGCCTCCGCAGTCTACAGGGCCGTGGGGAGACCGGCAGAGGAAGGAGGTGGCAGGACTTGGAGAAGCGGTCCACAACGACCAGGATGGTGGTGTTACCTTGGGAGAGGGGAAGATCAGTCAGAAAATCAATACTAAGATGAGACCATGGTCGTTGTGGAACTGGTAATGGTTGTAGCTTACCCGTTGGGAGGTGCCTAGGCGCACACAGAGCAGGAGGAGAAGTACACCCTCACGTCCTTAGCCAAGGTAGGCCACCAGTACTTTCCACTCAAGCAGCGCACTGTACGGCCGATACCTGGGTGACCAGAGGAGGGTGACGTGTGTGCCCAGAAGATCAGACGATCACGGATAAGAGCAGGCACATACCGCAGCCCAGCTGGACACTGCAGTGGAGATGGATCTGTGCGTAATGCCTGCTCTATATCCGCGTCCATCGCCCATACTACCGGCGCCACAATGCGGGAGGCAGAGAGTATGGTGGGGTTGTCTCTGGGCCTCTCCTCTGTGTCATACAGCCGGGACAGTGCGTCTGCCTTCACGTTCATCGTACCTGGAATGTATGATAGTGTAAAATCAAACCGGGTGAAGAATAGGGCCCACCTGGCCTGGCGAGGATTCAGCCTCCTTGCTGCCCGGATGTACTCCAGACGAGGAAAGGGTGTTTTCACCCCTTCGAGCCAATGCCTCCACACGGTCAAGGCTCGGACAACAGCCAACAGCTCCCAATCACCAACGTCGTAGTTCTGCTCCGCTGGGCTGAGCTTCTTAGAGAAGAAGGCACAGGGGTGGAGCTTGGGTGGCGTACTGAGCGTTGAGACAGGACAGCTCCTATCCCAACCTCGGACGCATCCACCTCCACTACAAAAGGTAGTGATGAATCGGGTGGGCCAGTACTGGGGCTGAGGTGAACAGACTCCACAGTTTGCTGAAGGCCAGGTCAGCCTCAGCAGACCAGCGGAGCCGGGACGGCCCACCCTTCAACAGGGAGGTAATGGGAGCTGCGACCTTGCCAAAGCCCCGGATAAACCTCCGATAGTAGTTGACAAAGCCAAGGAAGCGCTGCACCTCCTTAACCGTGGTTGGAGTCGGCCAATTACGCACGGCTGAAATGCGATCTCCCTCCATCTCTACACCTGAGGTGGAAATGCAGTATCCAAGGAAGGAGACAGACTGCTGGAAAAACATACACTTCTCTGCCTTAGCATGAAGGTCATTTTCCAACAGTCATGCCAGCACCTTGCGAACCAGGGACACATGCTTGGCACGCATAGCGGAATACACCAGGATGTCATCGATGTAGACCACTACACCGCGACCAAGCATGTCCCGAAACACCTCGTTCACAAAGGACTGGAAAACTGAGGGAGCATTCATCAAACCATAGGGCATTACCAGGTATTCATAACGCCCCGTGGTTGTGCTGAATGCTGTCTTCCATTCATCTCCCTCTCGGATACGCACCAGGTTGTATGCACTCCTGAGATCTAATTTGGTGAAGAAGTGCACCCCATGCATTGATTCAATCACCGAAGGAATGAGGGGGAGAGGATAACTAAATCTTATCGTCTCCCTGTTCAGTGGTCGATAATCAATGCACGGGCGCAGACCTCCGTCCTTCTTCTTCACAAAGAAGAAACTCGAGGAGGCGGGTGAAGTGGAGGGACGTATATACCCCTGGCGCAGGGACTCATTGACATAGGTTTCCATAGCCACCGTTTCAGCCTGTGACAGGGGGTATATATATGACTCCTGGGAGGTACAGCGTCTACCCGGAGGTTTATCGCGCAATCCCCCGCCCGATGAGGTGGTCATTTAGTCGCCTGCATTTTAGAGAACGCTTGCGCCAGAACGAGGTATTCAGGGGGAATGCGCACGGTGGAGGTACTGTCTGGACTTTCCACCGTGGTTGCACCAACGGAAACATCTAGACACCTACCCTGACACTCTCGCGACCACCCCGTGAGAGCCCTCTGCGGCGATGAGAAGGTGGGGTTGTGAAGTGCTAGCCAAGAGATACCTAATACCACAGGGAAAGCAGGAGATTCAATAATCGAAAAAATAACCTGCTCAAAATGTGTCTCCTGGGTGATCATGGTGACTGGTATCGTGACTTCCGTAACAAACCCGGACCCTATTGGTCGACTATTGAGTGCTCTGATGGGGAGTGGAATGGATAGGGGAACCAATGTTATGTCTTGACGGCGTGCGAATGCCCTGTCCATAAAGTTCCCAGCTGCGCCTGAATCGACTAGTGCCTTACACTGTGGAACTACCATGAGATCGGGAAAGTGGATAGGTAGGGTACAGTGCGCAGCAGAGGGCTCCGAACAAATGTGGGTGTTCGATACATGGGGTGATGCGTGAGTGCCCTGCCTGCCACCTCCCGGCCCAAAAGAACGTTGACTACGACGTGTGGTGTATTGTCCCTTCGTGCCACCAGAGTGGCACTGTCGCTGTCCTCCTCCGCTCTCTCGGCCGGCGGCTCCACCCAGCTCCATCGGCTCGGGATCCGAGTCGTCCGGGGTGGAAACTGGCAGACCCCTACCAGGACGTCCTCTGGCTGCCAGCAGGTTGTCCAAACGAATGGTCATGTCCACCAGTTTGTTGAAGGACAACATGGTGTCTCGGCAGGCTAGCTCCCGTCGGACGTCCTCCCACAGATGGCACCGGAAATGGTCGATCAGGGCCCGCTCGTTCCACCTGGACCCCGCTGCCAGCGTCCGAAACTCCAACGCGAAGTCCTGGCGAGGAATGTTCCGAATATTTTGGTGTCTCATTCTTTACTCTGGTGAAGACAGTTGTGCCTGGATCCACTTTGGATCTAATAACCCTAGGGAATTGATGTTGATCATCTGTTGTTGTCTGCTTGATTTACAGCAGGGTCTCGTTAGATTTAACACAGAAAGCATCAAGGTAATGAGTTCATGTCTAGTATGTGCAATTGTGTGCATTTGTGTAGGATACACTATTGCGCAACACCCAATGCTATTCCTATTGATTACTCTGGATATAATGACAACAAATACATAGCCTAGTGGGCTTATTAACAATATAATCTGGTAATGAAATTTCCTCAATTTGGTGCTTGAAAAGTTATTGTAAATATTGTAGCCAATTTATAAGTTCTTCTGCACCCTTATAATTATCCGTAAATTCATTTTGATCCGTTTTTGTGAGAGGGGCCACTTTCGTTTGTTTCCTGCTGCTTCAATTGAAGGGTGTTGCGCTACTCTGTTGCGGTAAAACCATGTGTGGTTATTATGAGGACAACAACATCTAATGTTGCCTTCAACTTGGCTTTCCATACAAATCCTTCCATTAAAAAAAGGAACCTGGTTCTTGGTCAATTTCTCATGATAAAAACAGCCATGATGAGATTAATGCTACCCCTATTCATGGTTTTATTATGTGTGCCTGCGTCGGCCACCTAGGCCACAGAAAAATCACCATGCCAATGTCCACATTATTCTCACATATTTTAGAATGTAATAATAATTTGAATATCAAGGCCTACAAAATGCATTATTCTTAAAGTGGTAATGGCCTACTTTTTTGACACTTTTTGCATGCTTTTTTGGGGAGGGGGCGGTTCTATATTAGGCCCTAAATGTACAATTATATAAATTATACAAGTGTATACCATTGAGGTCCTTGAGAATTACAATTAAGTGCTTTAAAAAGTCCCTGAAGTCCTTGAATTTGACTTGCTGATGTCTGTATGAACCCTGCTTAAAGGATGTATAGTCCTAGACCTATGTTGTTGTATAGGTGGAGTTATGGGCCAATTGGGATGTATTCATTTTTATTCCTCTAAGTACACATGTGGAACTGCATAAAAATCATTTTTTATTTTTGTTTCAAACCATTTTGAAATGTTGATCCCAATGTCATACATTGGTCCCATTATTTATAGAAAGACCCATATGGTATACCGCCCAAGCCTAACGAGAGGTCATTCTGCCACCCATAAGATGGGTGAGGACACCTGCTCTCACGGCCCACTTCCTTCATTCGAGAGCACGTCCTTCTCTCTTCATAAAAAGAGAGATAGAGAAACAAACAAAATAATCTCACTTTGTGTGAAATGTGTTCCCTTGGTAACCAACACTTCCCTGCTGAAGCTCAACCTCAGAGATAATTGGATGGAAGGGATGGGCGGGGCCGCCATGTTAAAGGAGAACTGTTACATCACAGGTGGTGCTCTTCCAACCTCCGCTCCGAGGCCCCAGGGGGCTCAGGGGGGCGGCAGCGCCACCCACACCCACCTGTGTGCCACCCTCACCCCCTGCCACCCTGGTTGTGCCTCGACACCTAGGGTCCTATTTAACATTGTCAGCGTCTAGCTAGCGCCACACACAGTTCATGTTCCAGGGGAGAGGAGTGAGAGGAGAGCGAGGGTTGTTATTTTTACATAAAGGACCCTGGTTGGCCCTTAAGGGTCTTTTATATCCACCATCATTAAATTTTAGTCATTTAGCAGACGCTCTTATCCAGAGCGACTTACAGTTAGTAAGTGCATACATTTTTATTTTTATTTTTTCATACTGGCCCCCAGTGGGAATCGAACCCATAACCCTGGCGTTGCAAACGCCATGCTCTACCAATTGAGCTACATCCCTGTGTAGCATTTCAATGGTCCTAATTGCACAACTAATAACTGTCATTCCCAATGCCTTAATGACACTGCTGCTAGAATAATAGGTTAACTGCTGACAAGGAGAATGGAGAAAATGATCAACACGTAGATATCTGCTAAATTCAGATCACGTTAGGTTTTGACCATTGCATTAAGGAGCTCCATTTTACCTAGAAACATCAAGACAGGAACAGACAAACAGAATGCCTTAGCTCCACTGTAACTCGCCCTGCTTGACCTCAGTGTGTTCCCCTGCCAGAGGTTGACCTGGGGGAGAACAGACTGGGGGAGCATGGTGCCCGGACCCTTTCCATTATGCTCCTGGAGAACACCACTCTGGTCTCACCTCTCCAGGAACGAGCTGCCTGACAGGGATACACAGCACCTGGCTCAGGCCCTGACCTCCAACACCAAACTGGAGACACTAGATCTCAGTCACAACACCATGGGAGATGTAGCAGGTAGGGTTTGGGTACAGTGTGTGTGTGTGTGTGTGTGTGTGTGTGTGTGTGACCTTAACCACAACACCCTGGGAGATGTAGCAGGTAGGGTAGTGTGTCTTGGGTGGGGTGAGATGAGGTGCTGAATGGAGAGGAACTGTGCATTTATAATTAGAACAGTAGTGGTCCAAGAGAGCCTTGAGGAACACCTAAAATGTGCTAAAGAACATACCCAGCCATCACCCTCGTCTTAAGGTGTCTCGAGTCGAGGAGACATAAAGTTCGGACGTCTTGAGACACTTTGAAAGAGTATAACAAATTACAAAATAGGAATAAAAACATGACATCTTCCTATTCTTATGGACAAGGACTTTTTCCATTAAAAGAAGATTATGTCCTCGAGTCTCACAGTTAAACATAAATGACTGTTACAAAGAAGCCTGGATTACAGTCTCCACCCCACCATCAGTCACCTCTGGTACAGTTCACAGCACATGGCTGTTAAATAAACAAATGTATGTAATCCGCTATAACTCACCCTGACTGCACAACAAAAGTGAATCACTTCAATTTCAAAGGTCTCAATTTCCTAATCAATCCCTCGATGCAAGCGTGTTTCTCAGCTTTAATAATATCCGTTGCAGACAACTGAAAAGACTGCAGTCAGTGATGATCATTGAGTTCATAAAAACGCATGCACGTACACACACACACACACACTCGTGGTGACATATTGATGCAGAGCAGTCAGCCACAGACCACAGCTTTTGTAGCAGATTGTGGCATTCAAAGGTCAAGAAATCTCCTTCATTCAAAGCCCACTCAATTAGGACGTGGATGAGATTTGTGACATAAACCTTCTGGGGCTGACGATGAGTGAATGACAGACCAGACTGTGCGGCTTCAGACAATATCTGCGTAATTGAAACAGAGATAATTGCTTCGTTTAAGGAGGGGGAGAGGAACCATCTCCATGGTATTGTTATTTTGGTGCTTGTTGGTTGTCCCTGCACCAAAACTCCAGTATTTTTCCATCATAGCTTGTTCTCCATCTTCGTTCTAAATAGGGAGCCAAAAAACGTGTTTTCTTATGGCTCTCTCTTGTCCCTGTGCAGCAGACATATGGTGAGCAATATGTTTGGAACATCGAATCACAATAAAATCACAGTACCGAATCGCAATACATATAGAATCGTGAGAATTGCAATACATATCGTATCGGCACCTAAGTATCTTATCGTGAGGTCCCTGGCAATTCCCAGCCCTAATGATTAACTGTGTCAATCAAGATATACTGACATTTTATTAATTTACCTTTGACTGTTATTGCCTTTCTTACGGTCTTCTTCGCCACGTTAGGTAAATAGAAAGCCATCACTGTCTATAACGGTTAATATCATGTGTTGGAAGGAGCACCACAACATTCTATCCAAGCTGGGAGAGAGCGTGAGGACGGCTCATGTCATACAGGCTCAGGTAGCCTATACAGGACAGTTGTATATTCAAAAATAATCTATTGGTAGCTGATTAGTATGCTGTTGCATTGAAAATACATTTTACAATCTGCATTATTTAAATGTCCAACTTTAATTACTGAACAAGTCATTACATTATTGCCGCCAGCCAGCAGTCTAAATGTCAGCATTGCGTCACATTACGCCAGTGCACCTAGTCCTCACCGTTTGAACGCCAGAGGCCAAAGAAAGCATAATGACCTATGACAGATAATTGTTCACCCATATATATGAACTTGTAAATGAAAATGTATCGAATCTTTTTTTAGATGATTCGCTGAGCTTATTCTTCATTCATTGCTTATAATCTTTCTCCTTTAATGTCCTAGGCCAACATATTCCTGGGAACACTAGATCTGTCCTATAATGGTCTGGGGAAGGATGGAGCCGTAGCTTTAGGACAGGCTCTAAGAGAAAACCCTCTGGAGGACATCAATATAAGGTACAAGGGTTTCTGTCTGCTGTGCTTATACACTTTTCTCAACTATTTTTTTTTTTTGTCATTTAGCAGACACTCTTATCCAGAGCGACTTACAGTTAGTGAGTGCATACATTTTTTCTTTCATACTGGTCCCCCGTGGGAAACGAACCCACAACCCTGGTGTTGCAAACGCCATGCTCTACCAACTGAGCTACACGGGACTATGTAAGAACGCCCTTTGAAAGGCAACAGTTTTATTTTGCTTGCCTCACACACCCAACACCTATTTTTGTCTCTCCCCCACAGTAACAATCGTGTACCCCCTGAAGGTGCGATCCGCTTCGCCATGGGCCTCCAAGTAAACAAGACAATCAAAACACTCAATGTCAGTCATAGAAAAGAGAATGGCTGTAGTTTGGAAATCAGCAGGGGACATATGTGAAAGAGCTATATTTTTCAAGATAAACACCCAAGATGCAGCCTCAAAACACCAGCAGTGACTAAAGTGACAGGTCGTATAGAGACAAAATATGCATGTCTATTTGATGTCTGCCATCTTTTGTGATTCCATGTTAATTAACCTCTCTTTGGTCAATGGGTAGGAATCCTATACAAACTGTTGGGAGTCCTGAAAACAATCCAGGGTAACCCAGAATCAACAATGGAGTGCTTGGACTTTTCTGCAGGTCTTAAGGTTTTTGATTGTTTTGTGAGTGAGTGCGTGAATGAATGACCTTTCTATTTATATCTGTTGTCTTTCCTTGATCTAGTCTGCAATAGTCAAACCACTCACCTGACCATGCATGTCTCTGTCTCTCTCTAGGACCTAAAGGACATCGTGGTCCTCTGTAGCTCAGCTGGTAGAGCACGGCGCTTGTAACGCCAAGGTAGTGGGTTCGATCCCCGGGACCACCCATACACAAAAATGTATGCACGCATGACTGTAAGTCGCTTTGGATAAAAGCGTCTGCTAAATGGCATATTATTATTATTATTATCATAGTGAACCACGACTTTCAGGATCTGTGCGTTGCCGTGAAAGGCATGTACCCTAACCTGAGAGTCAAACATGGAGGGAGAATCGACACGTTCAGAAAACCAAAGGCCTGAGTGAGAGGTTTTGCTATTTGATTCATTACACATTGCTTGCATGGGTTACTGCTACTACCCAAAGAGATGAAATCATTGGTTTTGCAAAGCAGTGGAACACTACAAGGATTTGTTATATTAGAGAGAATGACTAACCATGACAGGAGTCTGAATTAAACAAATTAATTATATGCTATATATGTTATATATTATATATGACTAATCCAAGTTTGTTTTCGTTTTTTCTTTCATTTGTGGCCTGGTTTGACCCGTCAAGAGGAGCTGTTTCCTTCAAGACAGCAGTGTGTGAAGGTACCTGGCATATCAACTGGAGGTTTATGAAATGCTGATGTAAGTGAATGGACAATGTATGGGATAACTATATCCTACTTTAGTTTACCCTTAAATACATTATAAGCCAAAAGCTTGTGGACATGATTATTCAAAGCTTATGGACCTGAAGCTTCTCGATAAATGCTACATTTCATTCACAACTGTCTGTAATGTATACAATTAATTGTATGTGGTCTATGTTGGAAGATATTTGGAGACGTCACCCTGGTGCATGGGCACACGTCAGATGTTTTTTTTTAAAGTTCCCTGCACAGGATTGCTGAACTACTACTATCATATTGACAAGTTAGTCAAGTGACCGCTCTAACAAATGGAAATACATGTCCTCAAAAATAGAAGGCAGGTGGGAGAAGGCGAGATAAGGTAGGACCATTCTAGCCAATGAGAGGGCAGATATGCATGTGAACAACAAGCCATAGAGATAGATAGAGGACTCATATTTCGATCTGTGCCATTATAGCGTCTGTGACAGCATGGACAGTGCTATTCAGGCTTTATTCATTTGCTGATTGCTCCCAACTCATAGGAATCTCCAACTAGTTGACTACTTTAAAATGGTGGAAGCCCTCAATGGCAATTTTCACTGCTAAAACGGGTTATATCCATGATTAGTCCCATCTATCTCTATAGACGGGTTGGTTGTTTAGCAACAAAACTGACACGTGCACAACTATAGATACACATGGCGAGGCGTGGCTTAACGTGACCACGCCCCCGAGTAGAGTACAACAGTCGGGTACTCCCATTACTCCCATGTAATTAGCCAAACTTTGGCGGAATCCTCAGCAAACTACTGAATTTATTTTGTTGTTTCAATAAACGTTTTCAGCAGCCTGACATGTCGTTATTAACATACTTGGCTGTCACAACAACAAATGGTTTAAATGATACTTATTCTGGCACTCTAATTTATTACCCGACCTGCTAACACTGACAGTAAAGCTGTCGCATTATACTTACGTCACTGTTGGTTTACGCCTAGTTTTTTGGCCAATACGCTTATGTTAGCTGGCTGGCTAGCAAGAGAAGTTAATCTCAATCTAATTCGCTAGTCTTAGATATGTCGCGTAACTACACTGAACAAAAATATAAACGCAACATGTAAAGTGTTGGTCCCATGTTTCATGAGCTGAAATAAAAGATCCTAGAAATGTTTCATATGCACAAAAACGTATCTCTCTCAAATGTTGTGCACAAATGTGTTTACATCCATGTTAGTGAGCATTTCTCCTTTGCCAATATAATCTATCCACCTGACAGGTGTGGCATATAAAGAAGCTGATTAAACAGCATGATAATTACACAGGTGCACCGTGCTGGGGACAAGAAAAGGCCACTGTAAAATGTGCAGTTTTGTCATACAACACAATGCCACAGATGTCTCAAATTTTGAGGGAGCGAGCAATTGGCATGCTGACTGCGGGAATGTCCACCAGAGCTGTTGCCAAATAATTTAATGTTATTTCTCTACCATAAGCAGCCTCCAATGTCATCTTAGAGAATTTGGCAGTATGTCCAACCGGCCTCACAACCGCATACCATGTGAAACCACGCCAGCCAAGGACCTCCACATCTGGCTTCTTCACCTGCGGGATCATCTGAGACCAGCCACCCGGACAGCTGATGAAACTGTGGGTTTGCACAACCGAAGAATTTCTGCACAAATTGTCAGAAACCGTCTCAGGGAAGCTCACCTGTGTGCTTGTCGTCCTCACCAGGGTCTTGACCTGACTGCAGTTCAGCATCGTAACTGACTTCAGTGGGCAAATGCTCACCTTCGATGGCCACTGGCACGCTGGAGAAGTGTGCTCTTCACGGATGAATCCCGGTTTCAACTGTACCGGGCAGATTTGCTGATGTCAACATTGTGAACAGTGCTCCATGGTGGCGGTGGGGTTATGGTATGGGCAGGCATAAGCTACGGACAATGGACACGGTTGCATTTTATCGATGGTAATTTGAATGTACAGAGACTCCGTGACGAGATCCTGGAGGGCCATTGTCGTGCCATACATCCGCCGCCGTCACCTCATGTTTCAGCATGATAACGTATGGCCCCATGTTGCAAGGATCTGTACACAATTCCTAGAAGCTGAAAATGTCCCAGTTCTTCCATGGCCTGTATACTCACCAGACATGTCACCCATTGAGCATGTTTGGGATGCTCTGGATCGACGTGTACGACAGCGTGTTCCTGTTCCCACCAATATCCAGCAACTTCGCACAGCCATTGAAGAGGAGTGGGACAACATTCCACAATCAACAGCCTGATCAATTCTATGTGAAGGAGATGTGTTGCGCTGCATGAAGCAAATGTTGGTCACACCAGATACTGACTGGTTTTCTGATCCATGCCCCTACCTTTATTTTAAGGTACCCGTGACCAACAGATTTATATGTGTATTCCCAGTCAGGTGGAATCCATAGATTAGGGCCGAATACATTTATTTAAATTTACTGATTTCCTTATATGAACTGTAACTCAGTAAAATCTTTCAAATTGTTGCATGTTGAGTTTATATTTTTGTTCAGTGTACTTCCAGTCTTTGCCTGACCTTGAACGGTCTAGGTGTTGAGAAAAGTTGATTATTGTTGGCTTGCCTATATGTCCTTTAAACTTGCCAGAGACCAGCTGGGGAGACAACCATACCAAATGGCCCAAGTAGCTATGGCGATATCTACACATACTTGGTGGAATCTCCAGGTTTGCATAAATTTCCAAACGCAGAAGAATATACAATATTACAGTTGTTATTTGGATGGATACAGCTCACTAGTCCTTACTACAAAACTAACTAGCAAGCTTTGTGCAATACACGTAGCTAGTTAGATACAAACAAGAGTTAGCGACATACCGTTGATGAAGTGCTTTGAACACACATAAATGTATCAAGTAACCGGAGCCCACAGCTTTCCATCATCATCGTGGCGTAATAGCCTGAAACCATGAGGTTCTTCTAACCTGGTCCTTGATGAAACTTCATTTGGTGGTATTTTTCTCCTACCATTGTTCAGACAAAATGGCACGCAACAGCTTTTTGGCATCTTAAAAGCAAGGTTAGCTAGCTAGTTAAGAAAGCCAGTTAGAATCGCCTCATTGGCTAATAATTGTGATGTACATTCCATGCAACAGTCTATGAAAGTGTTTTTAGGTATGTTGTAGTTTGTTGATTCAGACGACATGGAAATATATTTAAAATGACCTACCCAGCATATACAAAATGTTTATAGAATGATACAAAATAAAATACAGCAATTGTTGGGTTATGAGTAAAGTAGGCAATTTAACATAGGAGTAACGAGAGTACCCTACGGCTGTACCCTACTCGGGGGCATGGTCACGTTAAAGCCCTGCCTCGCCATGCGTATCTATAAGGCAAAACAGACAGGGTTGGCTTAGATTGTTAACAACATGTAAACTATATTTTGTCTCCAATGTTTATTGAAAACATAAATACATTTGCACAATGGGCACTCGTCTCTCACATTGTTACAGTTGTTGGTTAGCTAGCTAGCGAATTTTAGCCATATTAGCATTGACATGAAATCAGTCAAAACACCTCAAAACAAGACATGGTATCAAGAGCAAGGTACGACACAACCGTTGAGGAAAAGATGGCGGAAGCGGACCTTGAATCTAATGGTGGTGTAATCAAGGAGAATTTGATTATTGTCCAAAAGAATGGAAAAACTGAGCAAAGTAGCGTACCGTGCTGAAAATGTCCTTTCTTATCTTGTAAGAGTACAGTTTGTTAATGAGGAGCAGCTGATCGGATTACCAATCTTGAAGAATCCATTTGAGATATCCAAACTGGTGGAGAGAGTGCTGGGTAAAGTGAAGGCTGTGAGGATCACGAGAGGAGGGCTTGTTTAGATTTTTTGTACTTCTGAGGATCAGAGGGAATGTGTGTTGCGTCTCACCCGATTTGAGAAGTTTGACGTGTCGTGTGTGTCTCTTCGGAACAGGGCACCCCTCACGGGGGTAATATCTGGCGTCTCGTGGGAAGTTGATGTTGCAGAGATGACAAATATTCATGGAGTGATTGATGCATGTCGGATGAATCGTGTGGTGAATGAAGAAAAAGTGAAGAGTATCTGTTCTTTAATATGTAGTCTATCCCTACTCAAGTGCAGTTAGTGTATACAAACTACAGAGTCAGAGCATTTATCCCAAGACAATTACATTTAAGTCATTTAGCAGACGCTCTTATCCAGAGCAACTTACAGTTACTGAGTGCATACATTTTTATTTTTTTCATACTGGCCCCCCGTGGGAATCGAACCCACAACCCTGGCGTTGCAAACGCCCTCCCCTACCCTGGGCCAATTGTGCGCCGCCCCATGGGTCTCCCGGTCACGGCCGGCTACGACAGAGCCTGGATTCGAACCAGGATCTCTAGTGGCACAGCCTTAGACCACTGCGCCACTTGGGAAGACCAATCACTGTAAAGCTTTTGGACATGTTTTAAGTGTTTGCAGAAGGGAGAAGCCAAGTTGTGGAAAATATCATATAATGTGTTTTAAAAGTGATGAAAATGTTGTAATTATGGTGGGAACTATGAAGCCACGTCTTTGGAATGCCCCACAAGGCTGAAAGAGAACGAGGTGGCCAAAGTCAGGGCTGTCCAGAGCATTTCATATGCAGCAGCTGTTAAAAGAGTTGAGGGTTTGAATGGTGCACCTGAAGAGTCCATGGTGGTGGATAGGCCTTCACTGCAGGCTGCAGGGGTTGCCTTTCACCAGTAGGACTCAGACATTTTAAAGGTTAAGAAGGTGGACTTTGTGGCCTTTATAGCTATGGTGATTAATGGCACTGTCGAGGTGGAGAGGAAGTCCAGGAAAATAGATATCATTGTGTATGCGGCGGAGTGGTTCCTGGCTGGGACTGAAAGACTTCTCGGCGGAGGAGTTTCATGGAGTATTGTCACAAGCCGTACCACCCTCTCAGGCTCCAGAGCCTGCCGGAGATATGGAGCTTTAAAAGAAGGAATTAGTGGGAGTTTTGTTTTTGTCAATGTACTATTTTGATTTGGGTGGATGAAGTTAGTTTTCCCTATCACATATGAATTCTATTTTTACCTTGTTTTTTTCAACCCTGTCCAGTCGGTGGTGGACAATGCACCTTTTTGGTTTGTAGTCCGCCATAAATCCCACACAAGAACAAGATTAAAGATTTTATTTCACCTTTATTTAACCAGGTAAGCCAGTTGAGAACAAGTTCTCATTTACAACTGCGACCTGGCCAAGATAAAGCAAAGCAGTGCGATAAAAAACAACACAGAGTTACATATGGGGTAAACAAAACATAAAGTCAAAAATACAAACAGAAAATATATATACAGTGTGTGCGAATGTAGTAAGTTATGGAGGTAAGGCAATAAATAGGCCATAGTCCAAAATAGTTACAATTTCGTATTAACACTGGAATGATAGATGTACAAAAGATGATGTGCAAATAGAGATACTGGGGTGCAAATTAGCTAAATAAATAACAATATGGGGATGAGGTAGTTGGGTGGGCTAATTTCAGAATGGCTTTGTACAGGTGCAGTGATCGGTAAGGTGCTCTGACAACTGATGCTTAAATTTAGTGAGGGAGATAAGAGTCTCCAGCTTCAGAGATTTTTGCAGTTCATTCCAGTCATTGGCAGCAGAGAACTGGAAGGAATGGCGGCCAAAGGAGGTGTTGGTTTGTAGTGAGGGCCAGCCAACAAGAGCGTACAGGTCACAATGGTAGGTAGTATATGGGGCTTTGGTGACTAAACGGATGGCACTGTGATAGACTACATCCAATTTGCTGAGTAGAGTATTGGAGGCTATTTTGTAAATGACATCGCCGAAGTCAAGGATCGGTAGGATAGTCAGTTTTACGAGGGCATGTTTGGCAGCATGAGTGAAGGAGGCTTTGTTGCGAAATAGGAAGCCGATTCTAGATCTAACTTTTGATTGGAGATGCTTAATGTGAGTCTGGAAGGAGAGTTTACAGTCTAACCAGACACCTAGGTATTTGTAGTTGTCCACATACTCTAGGTCAGACCCGCCGAGAGTAGTGATTCTAATCGGGTGGGCGGGTGCAAGCAGCGTTCGGTTGAAGAGCATGCATTTAGTTTTACTAGGGTTTAAGAGCAGTTGGAGGCTACGGAAGGAGTGTTGTATGGCGTTGAAGCTCGTTTGGAGGTTTATTAACACAGTGTCCAATGAAGGGCCAGATGTATACAAAATGGTGTCGTCCGCATAGAGGTGGATCCAAGCTTCACCAGCAGCAAGAGCAACATCATTGATATACACAGAGAAGAGAGCCGGCCCGAGAATTGAACCCTGTGGCACCCCCATAGAGATGGCCAGAGGTCCAGACAACAGGCCCTCCGATTTGACACACTGAACTCTATCTGAGAAGTAGTTGGTGAACCAGGCGAGGCAGTCATTAGAGAAACCAAGGCTATTTAGTCTGCCAATAAGAATGCGGTGGTTGACAGAGTCGAAAGCCTTGGCCAGGTCGATGAAGACGGCTGCGCAGTACTGTCTTTTATCGATCGCGGTTATAATATCGTTTAGAACCTTGAGCGTGGCTGAGGTGCACCCATGACCGGCTCGGAAACCGGATTGCATAGCGGAGAAGGTACGGTGGGATTCGAAATGGTCGGTGATCTGTTTGTTAACTTGGCTTTCAAATACTTTCGAAAGGCAGGGCAGGATGGATATAGGTCTGTAACAGTTTGGATCTAGAGTGTCACCCCGTTTGAAGAGGGGGATGACCGCGGCAGCTTTCCAATCTCTGGGGATCTCAGACGTTACGAAAGGGAGGTTGAACAGGCTAGAAATAGAGGTTGCGACAATTTCGGCATCTAATTTTAGAAAGAAAGGGTCCAGATTGTCTAGCCCAGCTGATTTGTAGGGGTCCAGATTTTTCAGCTCTTTCAGAACATCAGCTGTCTGAATTTGTGTGAAGGAGAAGCGGGGGGGGGGGGGGGAAATGGGCAAGTTGCAGCGGAGGGTGCAGAGCTGGTGGCCGGGTTAGTGGTAGCCAGGTGGAAAGCATGGCCAGCCGTAGCAAAATGCTTATTGAAATTCTTGATTATTGTAGATTTATCGGTGGTGACAGTGTTTCCTAGCCTCAGTGCAGTGGGCAGTTGGGAGTTGAAAAGTTGCATATCGCGGGGGCTGTTTGATGCTAATGCAGTACGCCACAGGATGTTTTTGTGCTGGTCAAGGGCAGTCAAGTCTGAGGAGAACCAGGGGCTATGATACCCCACATGGCAATTTCTTGTCATCGTTGGTAGCTATCTGGCCATCCAGAATCACAACTCACAGGCTTCTGCCCCATTGAAGCGTTTTTGTGAAGTTGTCAGCTAACTTATGACAACAGGCACAACTCTGATATAAAGTCATTTTTTTCCAAAGTTGTCGCTATTCCACATACCTCCATTTATATCAGTCGATTCGTAACAACCTAACCATTACGAACATCTATTCAATCAAATAAGCCTCATTAGCAAACTAGCAATTACATATTTTGTTAACGCTTCGTGGATTTTCGTGGACAGATTTTGGGCAGAGTGAAACCTCTTGCTTCATCTCTTCCTCTCTGAATACAGCGAGTCATTCTTCTTCTTCTTCTGTGGGTTTTATGGCAGACTACATCCAAAAGTTGTATTGCCGCCACCAACTGGACAGTTTGAAACCAAAATTAAAATAAAAATAAATCCATACTTAATAGTGATCTAACAATCCACCCTAATAAAAATAGTACATTGCCAAAACAAACAAAACTCCCACTTCTTCCTTCTTTTAGTTCTCCATATCTCCCTTCTCAGGCTCTATGAACTGAGAAGGTGGTACAGTTTTCGCTAATATTCCATGTAACTCCTTTGCTGTGAAATCTTTCAGCCCCAGGAACCGCTCCGCCGCAATCACAATGATTTCAATCTTCCTAGATATTTTCTCCACCTTGGCAATGCCATTTATCACCACTGCGATAAAGGCCACGAAGTCCACCTTTTTAACCTTTAAAATGTCAGGATCCTCTTGGTGTAAGACAATCCCTGCAGCCTGCAGTGAAGGCCTATACACTACCATGGACTCTTTCTGGTGCAACATTCAAACACTCAACCCTTTTCACAGCTTCTGCATATGAAATGTTCTGCACAACTCTGACTTTGGCCACCTCATTCTCTTTTACCCTTGTGGGGCATTCAGAAGACGTGGCTTCATGATTCCCACCCCAATTACAACATGTCACATTTTCTTCACCTTTATAACACATTATATGATATTTTCCACATCTTGTACATATAGGCTTCTCCCTTCTGCAAACACTTTTTAAAAAAAAATGTATGCACTCACTAACTGTAGGTCGCTCTGGATAAGAGCGTCTGCTAAATGACTAAAATGTAAATGTACATTACCAAAAGCTTTACAATGTTCACACTGAATTGTTCTTGGGATAAATGCTCTAACTCTGTAGTTAATATACCGTAACCGCACTTCATCAGGGAGAGACTACATTTCAAAAAACAAAAGAACAGATAAACTCTTCACTTTTTCCCCATTCACCACTCACCACTCGATTCATCCGACGTGCTTCAATCACTCCAGGAATAATTTTCATCTCTTCCAAATCAACTTCCCACGAAACGCCAGATATAACCCCCTTGAGCGGTGCCCTGTTCCGAAGCGACACACAACACAGTTCCTTCTGATTGGCGGAATCACAAACAATCTAAACAAGCCCGCCTCTCGTGATCCTCACATCCTTCACTTTACCCGGCACTCTCTCCACCAGTTTGGATAACTCAAGTGGTTTCTTCAAGATTGGTCCTCTGCTCAGCTGCTCCTTATTAACAAACCGTACTCCTACTAGATACGAAGGGACATTCTCATCACTGTAAACCACTTTGCTCCGTTTTCCATTCTTTTGAACAATACTCAAATTCTCCCGCCACTGGATTCAGATTCCACTTCATAACCCGCTTCCGCCATCTTCCGTCCACACACAGCTACAGTCAGATACTTATCCTTTGGTTAAATATTAAACTGTAGCTTCTGTTGACCTCTCGTCATAATGTCACTACATAGACCGTATATATAAAGCTTCACACAAACGAGGGAAAGGTTTCCATTCAGTGTCTGGAGAAGATGGCGGCGACGTGTTCAATATTGCCCAGGGGCCAACTACTGTACAGGAATGCAGTCAAGTTGCAGGTCACAAGGTAAAGTGAAACTGTTGGAAGTTTTAAATGCTTACATTTACTCGCATCTTTGATCAACAATTGTACTTAACCTAATCTTACAAAGCGCAATTAAATACTTTGAGAATGTGAACCACAATTATCTAAACTAGGTCGCTTTGAATCGTAGACTAATTATGAAAGGGACGATATATCCAACAATAACTGGCTGCTAAATGTGTACGTTATGTTCAATTGTTGGTCAAATGATGAAGGTTCAACGATTGAAAGGAGGATACATCCTGATTAATGATGAGAAAGTTGCACTAACTGAGTCTACTAGCCTACTTTAATAATTTGCTAGGCAACTGAACTTTGACCCATTTCAAATGGGATCTACTGTGTGGTGTTATCACTTTTCCAATGCTGACACAATCTAACTAAACCCTTTGACAACATGGCAACTGAATAAAACAAGCAACAACTACTCGATCCTTTCCTCTGACTGCAAACTCATGTCAGCGTGCAATATTCTATATTTAAGCAATAAGGCCCGAGGAGGTGTGGTATATGGGCAATATACCACAGCTAAGGGCTGTTCTTAGTCATGATGCAACACAGAGTGCCTGGACACAGCCCTTAGCCGTGGTATATTGGCCATATGTCACAAACCCCCTGAGGTGCCTTATTGCTATTATAAACTGGTTACCAACGTAATTAGAGCAGGACAAATAAATGTTCTCATTCAACTGACCAGACTAACATAAATGGCTATTGACCACACTCATACCCAGGGTGTAGGCTACTCATCATAGCGTGATAACTGCAGTGCCACCAGTGGACTCACTTAGATTTCATGGCCCATACTGATCAGACATTTTTTTCTACTGTATATCAATGCCAAGTTGCCTGATCCTGCAAAAAGTCTAAATTCTTTTGATTCTTTAAATTCACTCCAAAAATGTTTTTGTGTAGGAGGTTTTCAGATAAAGGATGGTTCCAGTCTATGTTTGTGCACAAAGTGGAGGCCAGGAAAGATGCCCACTCCAACCTGCTGTCGAAGAGTGAGACCAGCGACCTCTACAAAATGCAGTGTATGTAATAATATATGATATCCTCCTGCAGCAACACATCTATTTACTCTTCTAGAGGAGGGGTTGAGGTTCAATAATAAACTAAATGTGATACAAATACAGCAAATTATATTGAATTGGATTCATTTGCCTTGTACACGGCATAGCCTCTGTGTGACATTTTATCGTTCCGTCTCTGTGGAAAACTGTGAAAGGATCATCATAATTTAATGCATATATTGCACCAAGGGACCTACAGGAAGATGCATGCAGCACTGGGGCTAAATAAAGTGAGAATGTGTAATTACATGGTATCATTACAATGCTATCATGTTTTTTTGTTGTGACAAAAATGTCATTAGAAATGTCTAGTTCTCATCACATAATTTAACTTTGATAGTTTGTCCTTTGACTTGTCTATACAGCAGGGAAATTGAGTTAGAAAGACCATTACAACCAGCAGGGAAATTGATTTAGAAAGACCATTACAACCAGCAGGGAAATTGGGTTAGAAAGACCATTACAACCAGCAGGGAAATTGAGTTAGAAAGACCATTACAACCAGCAGGGAAATTGGGTTAGAAAGACCATTACAACCAGCAGGGAAATTGAGTTAGAAAGACCATTACAACCAGCAGGGAAATTGAGTTAGAAAGACCATTACAACCAGCAGGGAAATTGGGTTAGAAAGACCATTACAACCAGCAGGGAAATTGGGTTAGGAAGACGATGATCCAAAAATAGTTCATTTGCAGAAGGAATAATGCATTAGTCCAATAATATGACTGAAGCTGCTGAGTATGTGATATGATATTTTCATTTGTTTAGCCTAATGTCCACCCACCAATATTCACTGGCTAATTCTGTCCCTTTCTCTCTCAGTTCACAATGTCAAGCCAGAGTGTCTGGAGGCGTATAACAATCTAGAGTGAGTTCATCTTTCATTTTTAGTTTTGCTCATGTGCTGTAAATGCTAATTGACAGACTCCTCTTTTGGTCATTCACAATAGATATTTTCTAGAGATCTGTGGGGAGGACGGCACAATCAATGAAAATGCAGACATATACAGTATCTGTGATATTGTGTCTTTAAACTTTTCCCTGTGAATTCAGGGCTGAGGTGCAGAGCAAACTCCACTTAGACCAGGACTATCCCTGTGAGGTTGTGGGGAGCTGGAATACTTGGTATGGCGACCAAGACCAAGCTGGTAAGTGGCAGAGACGTCAGTGCATAACAACAGTGTCATGAAACCCGAATCTAATGTTATATAATATGATCTATTGATGTAATCTAATGTTCTCTGTTAACCCTGATCTAATGCTATCACATACCCTTTCCTGAAGATAGGCCTCTTGTACAATGATGACACTCACCAGAAGCTTCTAGCTGGCAGGGTGTAAACAGTTTGGCCAATACAACACTGACCTCTGCTGTCTGTTTGTTGCAGTGCACCTTTGGCGGTATACAGGTGGCTACCCAGCGTTGACTGAATGCTTGACCAAATTGAACAACAATAAGGTAGGCTGTGTAAACTGTGTTTTTAGCATAATAAAAGCAATTAGAAAGGATGTTCAGGACAAATCAGTACCGCAACGTATCATTCAAAATGCATATCAAGTTATATCAGATATTTTTTTATAATCCGATATTGTTTTATATAAATATCAGAGTATACTCATTGTTTTGGGGGAAAAGCATGACTCTACTACTGGCTGACGTGTAACAACTATTCTTCTTTAGTTGACTAATTCATACATTTCAAACAACGTAACTCTTTGAAGGAGTATATGCAATTCAGGAAGGAGAGGAGTAAAATGCTGGTCTCACGGCGGAACCAGCTTCTTCTAGAGTTCAGTTTCTGGAACGAGCCAACACCCAGATCGGGACCCAACATATATGAGATGCGCTCATACAAACTCAAGGTAAGACACTGATTTGGACTAGAAACATGCAAACTGTGGTCATACAGACTTAAAGGGATACTACGGGATTTTAGCAATGAGGCCCTTTATCTACTTCCCCAGAGTCAGATGAACTCATGGATACCATTTTTATGTATCTGCATTCAGTTTGAAGGAAGTTGCTAACTTACGTTAGCGCAATTGCCAACTAGCGTTAGCACAATGACTGGATGGCTATGGGAACAGCTACCATGCAGACTTCCAGTCATTGCTCTAATGCTAGTTAGCATTGGTTCATGAAACTAACTCTAACTTCCTTCATACTGGACGCAGATATATAAAAATGGTATCCACAAGTTAATCTGATGCTGGGGAAGTGGATAAAGGGCTTCATTGCCAAAATCCCGAACAATCCCTTTAAGAGAAGTAATGCGATGTCCTAGACATAATACGAAATGCGCTCCTACAAACTCAAGGTAAAACACTGATTGGGCCAAGAAACATGTAAACTGTGGTCATACAAATTTAAGATAAATCATGCGATGACCTAGACATATGAATTGCGCTCATAGAAACTCAAGGTAGGATACTGCGTGAGGACACCCAGAGATATACAAACAGTGGTCCTACAGAACACAATGGACATCATGTACGTACCTAAGATAAGATAAATGTCTACTCTTAAACACAACCAACATGTCTGGCTTGACTGTGTATATAATGAGTATGTAGGCCTCCGTCACACTGCATTGTGTACAGAACTGTATGTTTTGATTGCAGCGCCTGCATGTCTAGTAGTGGAGGCTGCTGAGGGGAGGACGGCTCGTAATAATGGCTGGAACGGAGCGAATAGAATGGCATCAAACACATGGAAACGATGTATTTGATACCATTCCACCTAATCCGCTCCAGCCATTACCACTAGCCCGTCCTCCCCAATTATGGTGTCACCAACCTCCTGTGATGTCTAGGAGTATGGTATGTGAATAGGATGCTGTTGCATTCTGTGGGTAAAGGCCACAGGTGGTTATGAAGTAAACATTATTTCCTGTGTTCATACTTCAGCATAATTATTTCCAGTAGCTAGGTTTCCATCCAATTGGCGACAGATTTTCATGTGAATATTCTAGAATCCGCATAAAGAAAATATGTGGACGTTTCCACCAAATGGACTTGTTGAGGATAACAATCAGTATGTGATGTAGTGCACACAAAATGTACTTTTTCGTTTTTAAGTTTTTATGTACCAAATATAAATCTGAAGTTCAATGTGTTTCCATCGCATTTTCAACTTTACTGATAGTTTTACCACAAAAACAGTTGCGTTAAATAGCAAATGTGACTACTCTGGTCTTGGCACCTGCGCTCTAGCCAACAGCTGGCAGGTACAGTGCGGGTAGGCTGTGTGGGTAGGTTAGTCTACAAATCTACATGATGAGATTATTATGGATAAGAGCGAGAATATTAGTATTTGTCAAATGTCAGTCAAGCATCGATCATCATGTCACCAGAATAAGACCCTTGATATTTATTGGAAAGGAGCATCAAGCTCATCACCTTGCACTTTCACCACCCTGTGAAGTTCATCATAACTTATTTCATCTGTAGCCTAATAAACTACATGGTTTACTGAGTTGTAGTGGGAGGACCACACACCATATCATTGTGTGACTCCAAGTTTACTTCAATATGATGGTTGTTATATAAATATTTGCGCATAAAGCGTTTCCACCGCAATTTCCTGCATAACTAATTTTACCGACACAAAGATCCCACCATGTTGAACGAACAAATGTATCTGTTGGCATTTATACATTTACACAAACTTCCTGTTTCCATCACAGCTGTCGTGATGATTATTATTTTTGATACGATATGACTTTACTGGCATAAAAACTGGATGGAAATGTGGTTAATGACGTCATTGTTTTTCTCTGTCGCCATCCACTTTTAGCCTGGAACGATGATTGAATGGGGGAATCATTGGTAAGACTTCTCATGAGACTGCAATATGTACTTTGTTTGAAAGAAATGTGCATGTACCATATGCATCTAAGTTGCATGTCATTTTGTAAATGATTATTGCATTAAATAATGCTGGTATGCAATATGTAATATCAGTAAATGTTTCAGTAGAATGTCAAATATGTCCAATATTGACTGTATTCATGAACTATCTTGATAGGGCGCGGGCGATCAAACACCGACAGGAGAACGATGAGGCCATCGGAGGGTTCTTCTCTCAGATAGGAGACCTGTATGAAGTTCATCATCTGTGGGGTGAGTCAGCTGATGATGCCCGTATACACAACATTGACACTATTTTATCAAATGAATCCAATCAATGCTGTGTTTTATGGAATTATCCTATTGAGTTTGTGACCGACAGTTTACTACTATCAATACACACACTATTGTGCAACACGTCGGATTATTGTTTATTCTGTATGTCAATGTCTTTTGTACCTGCCCCTATTTATATACCATGAATACATGCATACTAAATTATTTGTTCCATCTGCAGCCTATAAAGACCTTCAATCCAGAGAAGAGACCAGAAACTCTGCCTGGCAGAAGGAGGGATGGGATTCTAGTGTCTATTATACAGGTAGGAGAGAACACATGCAAAACACACACACACATAAAGACATCAAATCTAAACCTCTCTGGCAATGCATTGTGATTTTTGTCTTCAACCATGAGAGGTTTCAGAATAATGATGTTTTTCATTTGCATCAAACTCTCAGTACTTCACTATGTTTGTAAGTCTAAATGAATTGTCATCTGTGAATACTGATCATTTCAGATCATTTCATGATAACCGTGTATTACTCTGTCTTGACATAAAATATAGCCTGATGTCTTTTTATCAATGTTTCTCAACTCTGGTCCTCAGTTACCCCCAACAGTACACCACATGAGGTTGGTGGCACCTTAATTGGGGAGGACGGGCTCGTGGTAATGGCTGGAGCAGATTAAGTGGAATGGTATCAAATACATCAAACACATGGTTTCCATATGTTTGATGCCATTCCATTTGCTCAGTTCCAGCCATTATTATAAGCCAGCCTCCACTGCAGTACACGTTTTAAAATTGTATCCCTGGAGAAACACACCTGATAGACTCATGGAGGGCTTGATGATTAGTTTACAAGTTGAATCAGGTGAGCTTGTCCGAGGCTACAATAAAAATGTGTACTGTTGAGGGTAGTCCCCTGTAGTTCAGTTGGTAGAGCATGGCGCTTGCAACGCCAGGGTTGTAGGTTCGTTTCCCACGGGGGGCCAGTATGAAAAATGTATGCACTAACTGTAAGTCGCTCTGGATAAGAGCGTCTGCTAAATGACTAAAATGTGAATGTAAATGTACTCACGGATTGGAGTTGAGAAACACGGTTTTAGATGTTGAGAAACAGAGCTTGATGTTGAGCTCCTAACATGTCTCTTTGTCACATCTCTCCTCTCCTAGTGCCTTTGATCAGGAGCATGGAGTCCAGGATTATGATTCCCACAAAGAGTTCACCTCTGCAATAACCAGATTCAGTCAAGCGCCCTTTCTGGAAGACCAAAGCGAGAACAGATTATGTGCATTTTTCCTTCTCTCGCTCTCTCACTCTCTCGCTTGCTCTCTTCTCTTTTGTTGTAGGTGCAGATAATTTAGGCCTACATGTAAAGCTTGAATCTATGAACTGTGGTAGATGGGAACTTTTGATGAAGACTAATGTTTTGGTGCACCGGCAAGCCCTCAGTTTGAAGACTGCATTCAACATAGAATCCAGTTACCACCTTTGCTACCCCATGGTGAATAGGGGAGAGATGTTTTATTTAACCTAAATAGGTAGATCAATTATATTTCAGGTGAATTATGTGCCAAACAAGAGGAAGGAAATCTTCAATGACTTCAATCAGGTATGAAGTAGCTATAAGACGGTGAATGAAATAGCTATGATAGGGAAATTAACTTGTTGCTACTGTATTATGCATCTTGAGTGTGTTAACATACAGAAGTAAGAAATGCCTACTCAGTGAACATGTAAAAGTATATGCCATATCTCAGTTATAAGAAACCTATAGGTCAATGTAAGCAAATGTGAGTCTTCCATTGTCAACCATCTGAAGAAGCAAATCAATAGAAGTTAATAGATGGCATCTTTGAACTGAGAAACGTGGATTATTAAATGTTATGTAATATTTTTCTCTGTCTCATTGATTGTGTTTTATCATCTTGTGATAAATAGTTTTCATGTTAATCTATTGATGAACATTTGTTTTTGTTATACATATTATTTGATCTGGAAATGTATTAAATATATGGAAACAACATGTTTTTGCAGTGGTGGTATTGCAGACCCCAAGTTGCAAACACTGTTCTAGAATTGTTACTTTTTTTAGTTTATGGGTATGGGTGTGATAATTAGGCTATGGGTATCATATATTGTCCTATCAGAATATGTTATTATAGACTCCCCTACGTTTTTATTTGGACAGTGAAGCTACAACTTTTAATTTGGCTCTATGATCTAGTCCCAACATTTTAAAGTCATAGAAGTTCACGTGTGTGTAGCTTTAAGAGCAAGGGGGCGTGTTATTATATGATGACTTTTATTTGAATATACAGTAGTGGAGTCAGATTGCGTCGGATGTTGTTCTCTTTATCTGTGACTGACTAATGCGAGACATACGGTTGAATAACTAAGCCGCGAGCGTCTAGTCCTCAGGAATGAAAATAACACACTCAAAACGTTAATTTAGGAACGTTTTATTGGATCGTTCCTGCAAATAGTCAGTCATTCATTCAAACCGATTCGGGGCTTGCGCTATTCAGAACCATGGACTTGCACATTCTGGATCACAGACTGCGAGTGACCAGCATTTGCAAAAATGGGCTGGTGAATTTCACTCACCCCCTCATCAAACTAATTTTCCTGCGGAACAGAACAAGGTAAGGTTGTTTGCATGACGAGACTAATCTAGCTCATTTAAAAACGTCCGCGATCCTAAAACCTGCAAGAAACAGAAATAGGCAGGTTGCAGACATGCTAGCTAGCTAGTTCGCTAATCCTGTCTCATTCATCTGCTATGTAAATGTGATGATATACTGTAGTTAGCGACGCTATCCCATTCAATTCAGGCCGTAATTGTGCATGCCATGCTATGTCGATATAGCTAGCTGCACCCTGTTGCACCCCTAAACAATTATTAAAACGTGGACCAAAGGTAACTAGACAACTTAATGTGGTGTACTGTTTATTGTACTTGCCGTCAATGAATGAGCACACCAGTCCAAAATGTAGTACTGTTTTAAGTTTATCCGAAATAATCATCTGATATACTAATATCAGTCTTTTATTTACTGTAACAGTAGATCAGTAAATGTTTGGCTAGTATTTGAGGAGTGATCATTAGAAAACCTAAAGCATGTTTAGTTATAGGCCTATTAGTAACTATGCCGACAAACAAAACCAATTTAATCAGCGGTCAGATACGGGTAGTCTTTGGGCAAGGCGAGTAGGCTAGTGAACACCACTTCACTTTCACTGTTTTCTATTCAGGTACCTGTCTGTTCTTACATGATATGAGGAAAGCACTTTCCCAAGACTTCTGTCATGGCAAAGGCAGCTCTCTCGAAATTCATTTTTAAAGAGGCTGAATTTAAAGCAGAACGGATGGTGGCTGCAGTGGCAATTTTTAGTTAATCCCTGGAAATCCTGCCTTTTATTATGTAATTGTTTATGACTCGGCCTGTCCTGCATATGCATCAGCCGGAAGAAAGGATTCAACATCTGGCAGATACTAACAGGCTAGCAGTATTTTATATAGTAGTAGCCTAATGGTAGGCCTATGTATTCAGATGTGGAAAGGGGGCTCAACATACACGGTAGGCCTACATAGTTTGGGAAGAAATGCCATTCATGCCAAGTTGGAGAAGGCCGTTTTTAAAAGGTGATTATATAGCCTAGACCTCACTTGGTGTTCTGTGAGGTCTAAGCAGCACTACCGGCTGTCTTCATGGACTTGCTTATTATAAAAGTTTCACAGATCAATCCAGTAACATCAGTCTACCAGCCCAGACGCCATACTCCTCTGACGAACGTCACTGATGTTAGAGTTTGCCTTGACTCCCTTCTGACACACAACGGTAAGGTGTGCATCAATTCACGAACATGATGACGACACTTCCTTTAGATGTATAGCTTCTAAAGGTGTTAGTCACCTAAAGAGTTCCTCAGCTTCTCTCTCCAGTGAGTCATTAGCAGGTTATTCATTGTACCTGCTGGCCTATGGATACACTTCATGACAGGTCAGCTACTAGGGTTGAATCCAAAGAACAGTCAGAATGCACTAGAACTGCCGTGGCAGGCAGTAGCAGCTTAGGGACTTAGGCTGCTAGCCTACGTGGGTTTTGACTCTCTTTGTTGTTGCTTTGTAGTTATGTCATATCATTCTGTTGTGTCCTGGTCGTTTTCCTGTTTTGGGGTGAGGATCAGGCCGTGTGGAAAAAGGATGGTTTAGGCTGAATTGTTTTTGAGTTACCATGAATGTATTTGGGGAACATAACAACAACCCTAATATAAACAAAATTGTATTTTTTCGACAGCTTCCCAGTATAATTGGTTTTTGACTACAGTTCTCCCTCTTGTAGGCCTCTGCAATTCATTATAGTATAGGCTACCCAAGAAAGGGCACAAAATCACTCAAATGCGAACAACCATGGGAGGAATTTTAAGGATAGGCTACCTAACCACTCAGCAGTCAGCACAGGATAGTAGCAAGCAGATCTTGTAGGCTGTTTTCTTGTTGCAGCTCTGTCTGACAATCTATTCTAGAATATCTGTATGAGTGTATTATTGAATCTTAAGGAGCCTACTCCAGTGTTCAGCAATAACTAGCTGGTAATGGTAACTTTATTGATCAGCTCTCTCTCCTTCTCACACCACGTTTCTGTTTGAGGCCTTACTTTTTTTTCTGAGGCTTCTTCTTGTCAGTGTTATTCTTCTGGTGAAACAAGCACCGTCAGCCTACATGATAAGGGTTTGAAGAAAAGGTTAAGGAGGAGGATTATCTCTCTCCCAGCTGAACTGAATGTCTGCTACAGTGTTAATTTATGAAGGCTGTGTGTGGTGGGATGCACACTCATACTGTATAATGTTAGCCAATAGCCTATGTTGCAGCGTGCCCTCTTCACAGTACATCCCCTTTCCTCTGCAGCTTGCTAACGAGAGGGCATGGGTCTCAACTCTGAGCCAAAACAATGGGGATTTTTTTCCTCCATTTGCCTGCTACAGTAGGCAGTCAAGGGCCCTGGGTTAGCAGCATGGGGGAGAGCTGGGTAAACTTTATCCATTGTTCATTAGAATACACTGTGAAAGTGGAACGCTCATTAGGTCAGCCTACCGCAAGGTTACACACATACACCATGTTCATCCAGAGTTGGTGAACATGGTGTAATAAATACTAAGGAAGTCTCGAGGTTTTGCTCGCCTGAGGTAGAGTATCTTATGATAAGCTGTAGACCACACTATTTACCAAGAGAGTTTTCATCTATATTTTTCATAGCTGTCTATTTACCACCACAAACCAATGCTGGCATTAAGATTGCACTGAATGAGCTGTATAAGGCCATATAAGGTCAACAGGAAAACGGTCATCCAGATGCAGCGCTCCTAGTGGCCGGGGACTTTAATGCAGGGAAACTTAAATCCGTTCTACCTCATTTCTACCAGCATGTTAAATGTGCAACCAGAGGAAAAAAAACTCTAGACCACCTTTACTCCACACACAGAGACGCATACAAAGCTCTCCCTCGCCCTCCATTTGGCAAATCTGACCATAACTCTATCCTCCTGATTCCTGCTTATAAGCAAAAACTAAAGCAGGAAGCACCAGTGACTCGGTTAATAAAAAAGTGGTCAGATGACACAGATGCTAAGCTACAGGACTGTTTTGCTAGCACAGACTGGAACATGTTCCGGGATTCTTCAGATAGCATTGAGGAGTACACCACATCAGTCACTGGCTTAATCAATAAGTGCATCGATGTCGTCCCCACAGTGACCGTACGTACATACCCCAACCAGAAGCCATGGATTACAGGAAACATCCGCACTGAGCTAAAGGGTAGAGCTGCCGCTTTCAAGGAGCGGGACTCTAACCCGGACGCTTATAAGAAATCCCGCTATGCCCTCCGACGAACCATCAAACAGGCAAAGAGTCAATACAGGACTAAGATTGAATCGTACTACACTGGCTCTGACGCTCGTCGGATGTGGCAGGGCTTGAAAACTATTACAGACTACAAAGGGAAGCACATCCGCGAGCTGCCCAGTGACACAATACTTCCAGACGAGCTAAACCACTTCTATGCTCGCTTCGAGGCAAGCAACACTGAAGCATGCATGAGAGCACCAGCTGTTCCGGATGACTATGTGATCACGCTCTCCGTAGCCGATGTGAGTAAGACTTTTAAGCAGGTCAACATTCACAAGGCCGCAGGGCCAGACGGATTACCAGGACATGTACTCCGAGCATGTGCTGACCAACTGGCAAGTGTCTTCACTGACATTTTCAACATGTCCCTGACTGAGTCTGTAATACCAACATGTTTCAAGCAGACCACCATAGTCCCCGTGCCCAAGGACTCTAAGATAACCTGCCTAAATGACTACCGACCCGTAGCACTGACGTCTGTAGCCATGAAGTGCTTTGAAAGGCTGGTCATGGCTCACATCAACAGCATTATCCCAGAAACCCTAGACCCACTCCAATTTGCATACCGCCCCAACAGATCCACAGATGATTCAATCTCTATTGCACTCCACACTGCCCTTTCCCACCTGGACAAGAGGAACACCTACGTGAGAATGCTATTCATTGACTACAGCTCAGCATTCAACACCATAGTGCCCTCAATGCTCATCACTAAGCTAAGGATCCTGGGACTAAACACCTCCCTCTGCAACTGGATCCTGGACTTCCTGACGGGCCGCCCCCAAGTGGTAAGGGTAGGTAACAACACATCTGCCACACTGATCCTCAACACGGGGGCCCCTCAGGGGTGCGTGCTCAGTCCCCTCCTGTACTCCCTGTTCACCCATGACTGCATGGCCAGGCACGACTCCAACACCATAATTTAAGTTTGCCGACGACCCAACAGTGGTAGGCCTGATCACCGACAATGATGAGACAGCCTATAGGGAGGAGGTCAGAGACCTGGCCGTGTGGTGCCAGGACAACAACCTCTCCCTCAACGTGACCAAGACAAAGGAGATGATTGTGGACTACAGGAAAAAAAAAGAGGACTGAGCACGCCCCCATTCTCATCGACGGGGCTGTAGTGGAACAGGTTGAGAGCTTCAAGTTCCTTGGTGTCCACATCACCAACGAACTATCATGGTCCAAACACACCAAGACAGTTGTGAAGAGGGCACGACAAAGCCTATTCCCCCTCAGGAGACTGAAAAGATTTGGCATGGGTCCTCAGATCCTCAAAAATTCTACAGCTGCACCATCGAGAGCATCCTGACTGGTTGCATCACCGCCTGGTATGGCAACTGCTTGGCCTCCGACCGCAAGGCACTACAGAGGGTAGTGCGTACGGCCCAGTACATCACTGGGGCCAAGCTTCCTGCCATCCAGGACCTCTATACCAGGCGGTGTCAGAGGAAAGCCCTCAAAATTGTCAAAGACTCCAGCCACCCTAGTCATAGACTGTTCTCTCTGCTACCGCACGGCAAGCGGTACCGGAGTGCCAAGTCTAGGTCCAAAAGACTTCTCAACAGCTTCTACCCCCAAGCCATAAGACTCCTGAACAGCTAATCATGGCTACCCGGACTATTTGCACTGCCCCCCCACCCCATCCTTTTACGCTGCTGCTACTCTGTTTAATTATTTATACATAGTCACTTTAACTCTGCCCACATGTACATATTACTTCAACTACCTCAACTAGCCGGTATATATCACATTGACTCTGCACCGGTACCCCCCTGTATATATAGCCTCCCTACTGTTATTTTATTTTACTTCTGCTCTTTTTTTCTCAACACTTTTTTTTGTTTTTGTTTTATTTTTACTTTTTTGTTAAAATAAATGCACTGTTGGTTAAGGGCTGTAAGTAAGCATTTCACTGTAATGTCTGCACCTGTTGTATTCGGCGCATGTGGCCAATAAAATTTGATTTGATTTGAGATGGTTCATAACATAGAACGTCATCACGGCTCACACCCCTCACATTTCCTCTGATGGAACATCAGTTGCAAGGTCCAGTTGTTCTTACCTCCCCTTACTGTGTTGGTAAAGAACATCATTTTGAGTGCCATCTTTTCAAGTCGCTCTCTTTATTTCACTCTCTCACGTTCTCTTTCTTTCTCTCTTTCTCTTGCCCTCACACCACAAAATAAATAATCACGAATCATAAATGTGTTGACCGTGGCTTTGTTGCATCATGGAGACACATGAAACTGCGGACACATGAGAATGGAATGGAGGCTTAGTTTTATCATCTAAGCCTGGAATAATGAATTAGAATGTTAAACCTACGTGTCAGTGCAGTAGATGTTTTGTAGAAGCTTTATAGAAAATGTAGAATGATTAGCACAGAAACAGGAAACTAGCCTAACCCAGCAACAGCTTCACGTGGATAGGAATTTTAAAGACGCGGCTCCAAACCATTTAAGAATGTGCCTGCATCAATTAGGCTACACTCTCCCTTTGGTTAAAAAAAGCATTAATGAGCTTTTAATGTTTGGACTGTGCAGTTTTTCCAACAGTAGCCTTAACAAAGCAGACCGAGGGTTGCTACCTGTTAGCACCATCCTCTCCCCCTTCTTCTTGCAGGCTTTACAAAAACAAGTCGGAAATCTAGCACTCAATTCTGAGGTTGAGAATGAAGCAAACTTTCACCAGCCCCGTTAATACTCTGACGGGCCGGGCTACCTAGCAGGAAGTAGCAGTATAGCTGGACAGGGTGAGAGGTCAACAGGAAGGGCTGGCTGGGAGGTGGCAGTAGACAATGGGCTGCTGAGTTAGCTCGGTGCCTCGCTCGCTCTACAGACGGCTGGGTGGAGCTCTGAATTTTTTCCCCACTTACTGGCTGCGTCTAAAATGGTACCTTATTCCCTACTGTATGATGTGCAGTACACTACTTTTGATGCACTACCATGGGTCTCTGGTCAAAAGTAGTGCACTATGTAGGGAATAGGGTGCTATTTCGGAAGCACCCCTCTCTGGATTGATTGCCCTGTCTCATGAAACCAGCGGATTACGTTTTGCTGAGTAGGACCCCGTACATGATTCTAGTGTTATATAGCTGGGAGAGGAGAGGGGATGTGGAGGAGGAGAGGGGTTTTCTAATGACAGCAGAGCGGGATGTTGCTGTCTCTTGCTGAGGCAGAATAACACTAAAGGGGAAGGTGTTGCGCTGTTTAATCATCCAGAAGATTACATGGTCTGATTCTGAACCACATACTGTATGTTTATGCTGAATGCATTTCCTGTTCTTTCACTCCTCTCCTACAAAACTTCAACTTTGTATTATGCCCAGACCCACACCCCATAGTCCTTGTGAACCGCTCTTTCCTGCTGGCCAGGGGGCAGTCTGCCACAAAGACAACATTATGGACAGTGGACAGAGCGTCTCTAAAACTCCTCTGTCTCTGAGACCAAATAATTAAACCTGTCGGAGTCCCCCGCTCACCCCAATGTACCCAGTATTCCCCACTGCTATGCAGCACAGCATTGGACCTAATGAATGGGGCCCACGAAAGAAGGACCATCCTGCCGTCCCATCTCGGAACGGCCGGGTATGGCTCTGCTCTCTCCAGGATTAAAAACACAGTGGGTGATTGAAGCAAAGCAGAGCCTTGTTCGATTGGGTACACACTGTGAGCAGAGCAGACCAGGCAGGCTGGGGGGTAATATTGGGTACACACTGTGAGCAGAGTAGACCAGGCAGGCTGGGGGGTAATATTGGGTACACACTGTGAGCAGAGTAGACCAGGCAGGCTGGGGGGGAATATTGGGTACACACTGTGAGCAGAGTAGACCAGGCAGGCTGGGGGGGAATATTGGGTACACACTGTGAGCAGAGTAGACCAGGCAGGCTGGGGGGGAATATTGGGTACACACTGTGAGCAGAGCAGACCAGGCAGGCTGGGGGGTAATATTGGGTACACACTGTGAGCAGAGTAGACCAGGCAGGCTGGGGGGGAATATTGGGTACACACTGTGAGCAGAGCAGACCAGGCAGGCTGGGGGGGAATATTGGGTACACACTGTGAGCAGAGTAGACCAGGCAGGCTGGGGGGGAATATTGGGTACACACTGTGAGCAGAGCAGACCAGGCAGGCTGGGGGGGAATATTGACACAGTGAAGACTAGAGCTTGGTGCTTGGCCAGCGGGCACTAGGTTTAAATCACCCCTACCACACACACACACACCATCGCCATACTACACAGTAACACTCATAGTGGCAATCTGTTTTTAGTTTGTTCTGAAAATGGTGTTCTATTCTTCTCTTTCCTTTTCTCTCAGATGCAAGTTCTTCAGTCTGACAGAGACCCCAGAGAACTACACTGTCGTCCTCGATGAAGAGGGATTTAAAGGTAAATGACCCCTCCTCCTTATCAACCAGAGACGCATCACTTAACAACCCCCCCCCCCAGCCTATTCTCAATCACACTCCCTTAACATCCTGTATGCTGAAGTCAACAACTTCAGAGTCATATCACATTTTTTACACTTACATTTTAGTCATTTAGCAGACACTCTTATCCAGAGCGACTTACAGGACCAATTAGGGTTAAGTGCCTTGCTCAAGGGCACATCGACAGATTTAACACCTAGTCGGCTCGGGGATTAGAACCAGCGACCTTTCGGTTACTGGCACAACGCTCTTTACCACGTTTTCTATAGCCCATACTCTTTTTCTTTGGAGGCATTTTATTCCCAGTGTCTGTTTCTCACAGATGTAGTTGATATTACAGGCACATACTGCCTCCAGGCCTTCTCGCTCTCTCTCTCTTGTCTATTTTAAGAGGTGAAAGCTGGTGCAGAGAAGCCACAAGGGGCTGCTTCTGACAAATGATTCCAACCAGAACAGTTCCCCTTTGAAGGGGAATAGGGGGGTGTGAGAGAGAATGTTTCAGAGAAACTGATTGCAGGGTCCTGGAACCGTTGGGAATAAATACCATTCGTTTCCCAGCCAGACATTGTTGTTATTCTTCATCCCCTGAAGTAATTTAAGTTCACTTCACACATTTGTAATTCAAACCAGGCTTGTCCCTGAGAACACCGAATTGTTGCATAATAGTGCTCTTCTTATGGAGAATGAAATAGGCTGTATAGCAACTAAGATAGAAACACAATGCTATAGAATATTAAATAACATAGCAACAAACTACACTGAACCAAAAATATAAACGCAACATGTAAAGTGTTGGTCCCATGTTTCATGAGCTGAAATAAAATATCTCAGACATTTTCTATACACACAAAAAGCTTATTTCTCTCAAGTTTTGTGCACAAATTTGTTTATATCCCTGTTAGTGAGCATTTCTCATTTGCCAAAATAATCCATCCACTTGACAGATGTGGCATCAAGAAGCTGATTTAAAGAGCATGTTCATTACACAGGTGCACCTTGTGCTGGGGACAATAAAAGGCCACTCTAAAATGTGCAGTTTTGTCACACAACACAATGCCACAGATGTCTCAAGTTTTGAGAGAGCGTGCAATTGACATGCTGACTGCAGGAATGTCCACCAGAGCTGTTGCCAGAGAATTGAAAGTTCATTTCTCTACCATAAGCCGCCTCCAACGTCGTTTTAGAGAATTTGGCAGTACGTCCAACCGGCCTCACAACCGCAGACCACGTGTGTGGTGTCGTGTGGGCGAGCGGTTTGCTGATGTCAACATTGTGAACAGTGCCCCATGGTGGCGGTGGGGTTATGGTATGGGCAGGGATAAGCTAAGGACAACGAACAAAATTGCATTTTATCGATGGCAATTTGAATGCACAGAGATACGTGACGAGATCCTGAGGCCCATTGTTGTGCCATTCATCCACCGCCATCACCTCATGTTTCAGCATGATAATACAAAGCCCCATGTTGCAAGGATCTGTACACAATTCCTGGAAGCTGAAAATGTCCCAGTTCTTCCATGGCCTGCATACTCACCAGACATGTCACCCATTGAGCATGTTTGGGATGCTCTGGATCGACGTGTACGACAGTGCGTTCCAGTTCCCACCAATATCCAGCAACTTCGCACAGCCATTGAAGAGGAGTGGGACAATATTCCACAGGTCACAATCAACAGCCTGATCAACTCTATGCAAAGATTTGTAGCGCTGCATGAGGCAAATGTTGGTCCTACCAGATACTGACTGGTTTTCTGGTCCACGCCCCTACTAAAAAAAAAAAAAATGTACCTGTGACCAACAGATGCATATCTGTATTCCCAGTCATGTGAAATCCATAGATTAGGCCCTAATTAATTTATTTCAATTGACTCATTTCCTTATGAACTGAAATTGTTGCATGTTGCATTTTTATATTTTTGTTCAGTATAATTTCTTTTTGTAAACAAACAATTATTTGTTAAATCCAGTACAATGCATCTGCTAGTGTCTAATTGTATTTCAAACGATGATTGTGCACATATCCCAGTTTGCAACCCCATATCCTAGTGCACTTTCCTCCCAGTGCTTATACTTCCTGTATAAATAAAATATTAAATGTTAAAAGTTTGAGAGCTCACAACCGGTCTGCCAGGTAGCTGCCAGGCTAGCGGTTGTTGATGGCCTGTTTGGGGAAGTGGTGAGGACTGAGCAGTGTCCTGTCTGGGTCAGTTATGGCCCTCTAGGCCCAATGGGGAATACTGTTTTCCCTGCCCCGTGCACATCCTGTGTGAATAGACTGATGCATCCAGAGTGGAGAGTGAGAGGAGGATCTGGTTGAACCCTCCCTGACCGCTTCTCAGACCATACACACTCGCACGCCGTTAAGAAGTCTAGCGATAGAAGTACTGCAACAGAATCAGCTTACCCTCCCCAAATCTTAGACTAGATCAGTCTCTGGGGGCACTTTATCCTACTCCCAACATCCTGTAGGGACCATAGTGGGCATGTATGGGATGGTGGATGATGCCATTATCCATTACATAAGTTCATAGGAGCCACTTCCTGGTTGTAACTCATAGCTGAGTGATGGTTTATAAATAGCAGAGATATTTTAGACCCCCCCTGAAGGAAGCGTATGGCAGTGGGGGTGGGGTCCAATAAGATGAAATGACTTAAAACAGCTGTGTAGACATGGCATAAGGTCAGGTTTGGAAAGTAGCAACTTTGCATTGGGCCTGAATGTATGTTTGTTTTTAGAAAGAAGGCTTAACTTAGCTGTGGGTTTTCTGTTCAATACAGTATAGACTAGTGGATAGTCTTTGTTTGAGTGAAATCTGAAATGTGTGTGTGTGTGTCCCGTGTCCATCCACTATGTGTCTGCTCTATGTTCTGACATGACCTAACCCCCCACCCACCACCCATCCCCTCCTCTCTCCCCCCACCACCCATCCCCCTCTCTCTCCCCCCTGCAGAGCTGCAGCCCTCAGAGCACCTACTGGTCGAAGGTTCCGTGTGGCTGCCGCTCAACGTGGTCTCCAACGGCAACTCCTCCAGCAGCTCGCAGGCGGTGGGCGTGACCAAGATCGCTAAGTCCGTCATTGCCCCATTGGCCCAGCAGCACGTGTCAGTCTTCATGCTGTCAACCTATCAGACGGACTTCATCCTGGCGAGTCCCCTGTGACCCCAACCTGCTGGGGCTTGTTGGGTTGTCTGATGTGATTCTTTATCATTGTTTTATGACATAATAGGCCTACATTTCTCTCTGAACATTCTGTAATGTTACACCCTCCTAAACATGCCCCTGGTGTCTAACCATGACAACAGTTGCTAAGCGATAGGCAGAGGTGTCATGCCCATAGGGGGCACAAGGGCACGTGCCACCTCAGATTTGTCATAATTTTTCAGATGTTAAATTAATTACCAAACGTCCTTTTTAAGCCCCCGTTTTATCAGAATTATTTTATAAAAAGATCTGTCAGCTGTATTTTGTGGAAGGGGCACTGACTGGACCAGGTAAAGTGTCCCCCTATTCTCCCTAGTAAGTGGTTCCTTCCAAGGTGCACCACAGAGCAAAGACACACAGTGTTTGATTTGATTGGAGGATTCGCAGGAGGTATGTTTGGAAATGAATTTGATCAAGCTACAGTGGGGAGAACAAGTATTTGATACACTGCCGATTTTGCAGGTTTTCCTGGTCTTGGCCATTGTGGAGAGGTTAGAGTCTGTTTGATTGAGTGTGTGGACAGGTGTCTTTTATACAGGTAACGAGTTCAAACAGGTGCAGTTAATACAGGTAATGAGTGGAGAACAGGAGGGCTTCTTAAACAAAAACTAACAGGTCTGTGAGAGCCGGAATTCTTACTGGTTGGTAGGTGATCAAATACTTATGTCATGCAATAAAATGCAAATTAATTACTTAAAAATCATACAATGTCATTTTCTGGATTTTTGTTTTAGATTCCGTCTCTCACAGTTGAAGTGTACCTATGATAAAAATTACAGACCTCTACATGCTTTGTAAATAGGAAAACCTGCAAAATCGGCAGTGTATCAAAAACTTGTTCTCCCCACTGTATGTAGCCTACTGATTCCTTCTTGATGAATAAATAAAACAAACATGTTTTATTGTTTCTCTAAAACTCCCCCATCCTCATAACTAGCTACCAAGCCATTTTAGGCTATTAATCAAGTTAGAGTAGCTTGTCTAAGTATCTTAGCTGGCATGCCTGCTGGCAAGGTTGCTAGACTTTAGAAAAGCAAGCAATTACTAAATGTACTGAATAATATTTTAACATTCCTTTAAATATTTTACTCAGATTTGAGCAGAGATGCAGAGAAGCATTTTAGTTTCTTTAACAAAATAAACATCAGTCAGGAGGATACAGACCGCTCAAGATGTATGCTTGGATATGCAGAAAAACAAACATATTTTTTACATAGAATTAAGCATAATGATTATGGTTCTATTGCAGGAAAAAGCGGTTTCGGGTGTTTGAAAAATTCAAAATTCTCCAACTCCAACCAGCAATCCTCATGTACTTTGCGTCCCCTCATATTCGTGTCAAAATAGAGAGTGAATTACACAATGGTGGAAAAAAATTGTCAAAACGTTGCATGTTACGGATTTAACAAGACGGCGATAATAAGTTGTGATGAAGTAGGTATAGCTATGCAAAGCAGTTGCATTTGTCCCACTCCAAACTTGTCCCACTCAAAACAAATGTTATCTCGAGTACAAATAGGCCACTAGTCTATTTGAAGTATTAGAAGTGACTACAATGTTGCTCTTTTCACTTTCTCAGAATGTCACCGACTGTCAGCCCATATGTTGTCCGCTTAGGTGCGAGAGAAAGACAAGAATATCACTTCATATTGTTGTCCTGTTACTGTAGGAGAACCCCCTGGCTGTAGTTATTAACACTGTGTTACTGTAGGAGAACCCTCTGGCTGTAGTTATTAACACTGTGTTACTGTAGGAGAACCCTCTGGCTGTAGTTATTAACACTGTGTTACTGTAGTAGAACCCCCTGGCTGTAGTTATTAACACTGTCTTACTGTAGGAGAACCCTCTGGCTGTAGTTATTAACACTGTCTTACTGTAGGAGAACCCTCTGGCTGTAGTTATTAACACTGTCTTACTGTAGGAGAACCCTCTGGCTGTAGTTATTAACACTGTGTTACTGTAGTAGAACCCCCTGGCTGTAGTTATTAACACTGTCTTACTGTAGGAGAACCCTCTGGCTGTAGTTATTAACACTGTCTTACTGTAGGAGAACCCTCTGGCTGTAGTTATTAACACTGTGTTACTGTAGGAGAACCCCCTGGCTGTAGTTATTAACACTGTCTTACTGTAGGAGAACCCTTTGGCTGTAGTTATTAACACTGTGTTACTGTAGGAGAACCCTCTGGCTGTAGTTATTAACACTGTCTTACTGTAGGAGAACCCTCTGGCTGTAGTTATTAACACTGTCTTACTGTAGGAGAACCCTTTGGCTGTAGTTATTAACACTGTGTTACTGTAGGTGAGGGAGAAGGACCTGGCTGTAGTTATTAACACTCTGGAGGAAGAGTTCAACATCTACAGAGAGGTGGGGGGAGAGTACTCAGCTGTACTCAGCCAAGATGTCCGCAATGGCCTCCAGAAGAACGGCAAAGAAGGTACGGCTCAGCGGGGGGGGGGGGGGGGGGGGGGGGGGGGGGGGGGGGGGGGGGGGGGGGGGGGGGGCTGAATGTATTGGAGGGAGTCACAGAAAGGGACAGACGTAGAGAAAAGAGAAGATCAGCCTATTAGTGTGTTGTTTTTAGAGGGAATTATGGGTAACAGAATAGCCATGTTTCACAATAAAAGCCCCCCACAAGATCATGATAAAGTAAAGACATGCTTGTACTCTATAACACTACTGCTCACTGTCCCAGTGCTTTAGGTTACTTCAGGTTGGGTTCAGGTTGTAAACTATAATTCCCCTTGTGTTTTCATCTCCAGCCCCCCAGCTGACAGTGCACCCGGTGCTGATACCTCAGAACCAGTTCTGTGTGATGAGTCTGGACCCAGATACTCTGCCTGCCATCGCAACAACACTTATCGACGTACTCTTCTACTCCAACGGGTGAGCTCTGCCCTGCCCAAAACCCTTGTTCCTTTTATCAGAGTTGTTGCCTTACCAGTTCAAGTCAAGATGGCTGCAGTGTGAAATCCCTCGTTAACACCAGGTTGATCATTACTTAGGGTAATGGTTCTGCCATCTTTTTGTAAAATAAAGTAAATAATAGAACTGCACATAAAAGTGTTCCTATTCTAATTCTATGGTGTAAATGATTTTCTCCCCCAGTCCTAAAGAGGGCGCTCTTCCCAGCCAGGACCTGGACTTTATCAAGTTCTTTTCCTTCTCTCTGATCGATGGCTACGTCTCTCTGGTCATGGACACAGAGGCACAAAGACAGTAAGACTCATCTCCTCTCACCCTCTCTTACATCTGAGCTGCCTTAAAGTTTCACTCTGTGGGTGGTCAATGGTGGCCTAGCGGTTAGAGCGTTGGGCCAGTAACCGAAAGGTTGCTAGTTCGAATCCTCGAGCCAAGAAGGTAAAAATATCTATCTGTGCCCTTGAGTAAGGCACTTAACCCTAATTGCTCCAGGGTCCCCATTGATAATGGCAGACCCTGGCCGTGACCCAACTCTCCAAGAGTGTCTTAGGGGGAGTTGGGATATGCAATAAAACAATCTCCATTTCACACATGCGTATAATACACTCTAGTACAAGAAATAGGCCAAATATAAGCACCCACCTGGTTATTATTATTAGTGTGTGTTTTAGCAAGTTTCTGTTAACATATTCTTAGTGTGTGTGTGGTTGTGAACACATATACGAATGATTCAGACCTAGGTCCTGATACCTTTCACCAAGTCACCTATCTTACTTGGAGCCTAAGAAACCGTGATGAATTAACATGGACTGTCAATGGAGAGATGTTTTCTTTTTGTTAGCAACTGCCGACGCGTTAATGTCACGTGTCATGTAGACGTCGTGTACACGTGACACTTACAAGTTACGTGTCAGTTTACTATTTCATATCTGACAATGAAATGTCCATCTTATACGATGGAAATATAAGATCTTATAAGACAACCCTATGCTTAGCATGACTGTAATATAATCTATTTAGCTAAGATAGGCCTATAACAAAGAACAGTAAAAATGTATTTTATGGTATATAAGAAAAAAGATTAGGCTAGTTAATATGCATCCACCAGTCCTGGATCTAGGCCTATTTCTAAAATGAATATGGACAGCGCCCGATGCTGAAAGTTGAGTAGGCAAATGTACTAACAACGAGGGCTTTGTTGGAGCCCTATTTAAGAAATAAGTAGGGTAGGCTTTCCTGTTTGACAGACACAGTTCTACTATATTGGTCATTATTTCCTCCGATAGGGACGGTCTCCCCTGATCTCTCCAAGGGTCCCCCGTAAAACACCAGTTTACCTGACAGTGCAGCAGATTTTCTCCAGTTTAACTTTGTCTGTGTTACACCGTATCTAGTGTTTTATGAAATTGCAACTGTCGGCTACTGGATTCCTATGTGATAGAGTTGAGTCTCTAGATTCCCTCGCTGAACTCTTACACATCTGAGGCAATAATGAATTGGTTCTCATGGGTGATTTAAACTGGGACTGGTTATCGCCAAATTCCAACGCCATAAAAGAGCTATGCCATTCGTTGAATTTCACCCAGTTAACCCTAAAGACTGCTAATTGATATTCTCCTAACTAACAACCTGCATAAGTACCTGGCCATCTGTATCTTCCCAAACAATTTGTGTGTACAAGGGACAATACAATCCCCAAATGACCCCCTTGGGTAATAGAGGGAACGTCAAGCAGTTTTGTGAACAGGCTTTCCTGAATGAACTGGGAAAAGATGTATGCTCCTTCCAGACATTGAGATAGCGTAGTCCTATTTCCATAAGCTGTTGTCAACTATCTGTGACAGATGTGCACGTTAGAAAGTAGGGTAGGCCTAATTCATATATTAAGTCTATGCTACAACAGACAACAAATATCCCCCTGAGACAGATTTAGATAGGCCTGCACACTTACTCAAATTAAAATATGGTGTCAGCATTGCTTCAGTAAAACCGATCAACAGCTGATCATTAGGCTATGGACAACTTGTGTGTTTCTATGTTAGCCTTCTAATGGTTGTGCATTTCATCTTCATCATAGGCCAATATGCTAGCTGTCTCTCTCTCACCCTTCACACTTTCCTTGTCAATTCATTTGATAGGCTACATTGTTTTAGTATTATCCTATGCCTACAGGTTTTAATAGTAATTTGTGATGAGACTGCCGTTATCAGTTTTTCTGAGCGTTCGGGCGCTGGCCATGGTCCTGTTATTGTCACTCCCGCCGCTGGGCTGGTGTGGTGATTGGCGCCGCTGGGCCGGTGTGGTGATGGGCGCCGCTAGGCCGGTGTGGTGATGGGCGCCGCTGGGCCGGTGTGGTGATGGGCGCCGCTGGGCCGGTGTGGTGATGGGCGCCGCTGGGCCGGTGTGGTGATGGGCGCCGCTGGGCCGGTGTGGTGATGGGTGCCGCTGGGCCGGTGTGGTGATGGGTGCCGCCGGGCCGGTGTGGTGATGGGCGCCGCTGGGCCGGTGTGGTGATGGGTGCCGCTGGGCCGGTGTGGTGATTGGTGCCGCTGGGCCGGTGTGGTGATGGGCGCCGGTGTGGTGATTGGCGCCGCTGGGCCGGTGTGGTGATGGGCGCCGCTGGGCCGGTGTGGTGATGGGCGCCGGTGTGGTGATTGGCCTACTAATGGTTTGACAACTGTAGCATTCTAGCTCCACCTAACGAGCTACGAACAGAAGTTACTTTACATTACACTGTTTTCGGAAGGTCTCCGGTCACCATTCAAGTAATGGGCAACATTAAACATATATATTCACATGGTATTGGGGGACCTATTTCATAGGTTTTTTTTCACAGGTCCAGTTTTCCCGATTTCCATCCGAAAGACTCACCTTCACCCTGGTGGCAGAGCAGACTGTGTACAGGCTGTTACATGCCAGTGGAGTAACCTAAACTCATACCATTTTCACGGCATCTAAACTGATTGGCTTCCCTTCTCCAAAACTCTCCCTACTGAACTAACAACTGAACTAACAAACTATATAGCGCAAAGCCCACCTCATGATCTCCTGTCCTGCCTTCCACTCCATCAAAATATATATATATTTTTAAATGTGTAGTCCCTCCCGCAGTTGAGAGGCTTTACGGTATTATAATAGCACTATAGCTCCAGGCTATTTTTCAAGAGTCAGGCGTCACACAGACGTTAGTCAGGCGTTTGGTATCACAGTTAGTCAGACGTTCAATGGTAGGCGATAGGCAGATGGTGGTGGTGTTGCTCCTCTTGAATTCTGGCCTGCGATACTTGGTAGCAGCAATGACCCACACTGTGTGTGTGTGTGTGTGTGTGTGTGTGTGTATTCTAGGTTCCCTGCTGATCTTCTCTTCACCAGTTCCTCCAGGGAGCTGTGGAGGATGGTGCGCATTGGGGGACAGCCTCTGGGTTTCGGTAAACTACCCTTTAATCCATCCTCTGAAAAACCCACTATAAGTATGTTGGGATCATTCCAACTTTACCCTGGGTAGACTGACACTCATAATGATACCACAAATACTTCATTGTTGATCTCTCCATCTCTCTCTCTTCTCTTCTCCAGACGAGTGTGGCATTGTTGCCCAGATATCCCAGCCCTTAGCTGACAACGACATCTCAGCCTATTATATCAGCACCTTCAGCTTCGACCATGCCCTGGTGAGCAAGCCTTTAGCTGCTGATGTGACACCCACTGGCACCCAGCTTTACTCTACAGAACATGAACTTTAGCAGAGGGTATGTTCTGATTCTGACCAACAGAGGGCACTGTTTCCCCTGAATAAAGGGTAGCGTGTAGCTTAATGACTGTGATAGTTCATTTATCCAAGACTTAACTATAGTAGCAGGTGTTTGCAACAGGGTTTAGACACATCTGGTCACAGAAATCACAAGAATGTCAGCAGCGCTATCAGATGACAGAATGAATGTCTGATTTGTCAGAGGGTGCTAAATGAACCGCTTCCTGTGGACTTTCCAGCTTTTATGTTGATCTGACATCAGCAGTGTCTTCTGCACTATCTGTATAGTTCATACCTGAATGACACTGATAGTTTGACGTGAGATACCTGACTAAGAGATAAGCTGTCAGTCAGAATGCTTCTCATGCTAAAGACAATCAGATTACAAAGGGAAAACCAGCCACGTCGCAGACACCGATGTCTTGCTCCTGGACAAGCTAAACACCTTCTTCGCCCGCTTTGAGGATAACACAGTGCCACCGATGCGAGCTGCTCCCGAGGACTGTGCGCTCTCCTTCTCTGTGGCCGACGTGAGTAAGACGTTTAAGTGTGTTAACCCTCGCAAGGCTGCCGGCCCAGACGGCATCCCTAGCTACGTCCTCGGACCATGCGCAGACCAGCTGGCTGGTGTGTTTACGGACATATTCAATCTCTCCCTATCCCAGACTGCTGTCCCCACTTGGTTCAAGATGTCCACCATTGTGCCTGTACAGAAGAAAGCAAAGGTATCTGAACTAAATGACTATCGCCCCGTAGCACTCACTTCTGTCAACATGAAGTGCTTTGAGAGGCTAGTTAAGGATAATCTCACCTCCACCTTACCCGACACCCTAGACCCACTGCAATTTCATACCGCCCTAATAGATTCACGGATGATGCAATCGCACTGCACACTGCCCTATCCCATCTGGACAAGAGGAATACCTATGTAAGAATGCTGTTCATTGACTACAGCTCAGCCTTCAACAGGGCTGTGGCGGTCATGACATTTTCTCAGCCGGTGATCATCAAGCAAATAACTGCTGGTCTCAAGGTAGTTGACTGTTAATTAACATACACAAATTGAGCATCTCCTGGCTTCCACGCATAGCCTGCAAGCCACTAATGCAGATCTTTGGAACATCTACATTTAAAAAAGTCTAATAAATCAAATGTAATATAGCCTACACTATCACCATACACAAAAAAAATGTATGCACGCATGACTGTAAGTCGCTTTGGATAAAAGCGTCTGCTAAATGGCATATTATTATTATATTATTATCACAATAAATCCAGTATTTGTTTTAGACAGGTCTAAAGAAACATGATATGAAGAAAATGTAGTCTATTTCAGAAGAACAGAATAGCATACTCTGAGTCGTCCTTATGTTAGGCCCTGATCTGGCTATCCATATGGCTGTGGGCTACACTAGTTCATTTAGCAGACAAGATTTTCTTAGAATTCAATGGCATTATTTTATAGTATGAAGAATACAATTGAACAAAGCTGAATAAAATAGAAAGGATATTTTCTCCAAATGATTTCCAAGGAAGTGCGCACATGTGGCTATTCTGTGTTGAGTGATTAACAAAGAAACAGGTCCTCCTATATGCATAATTTAGTTATTTATGCAACTTTAGTTGGGCTTTTGATTTTTAATACATTCTAAGGCTGCATGATGCGACTCTAATAATGATTTGAAAAAAGTTGCATGAAAGGTTGCATGCTCTGATTTGTTTCTTGTGCAGGCTGCACACACTTCATCAGTCTCTGATTCACAATTTGACAAGCACTTGATAAAATTCTCACCCGGCCTCAAGCGTAATGCCCCCTAAAAAATCCATGCCTTCTCCCAGCTGCCATGCTCCAAAGCACCACTTACTCACATGGCTCGCTCAGATATCTAAATTCTTATTAGCCAATGTCCATCACGTGATCGGGTCCTTCTCACAGGAATCTCGGCTAAAAAGTAGGCTACAAGTGAAGATAGACACATCGGGACGCAACTGCGCTCTTATCGAATTCCGAGGCACATATTGAAGATGTTAGAAGAACTGTCCACATTTAGCCTTCAACAAGATGAGTAGGCCTAACGAACAGTAAAAGCACTAGCCTATGTCAATCTACTCTCCTCCATGGTACAAAAGTTGACCTATTCTATTGGTCAACTTGTCCTTCTGTGCAATAAATAAATATTCCAAACAAATATACAGTGGGGAAAATAAGTATTTAGTCAGCCACCAATTGTGCAAGTTCCCCCACTTAAAAAGATGAGAGAGGCCTGTAATTTTCATCATAGGTACACGTCAACTATGACAGACAAATTGAGAAAAGAAAATCCAGAAAATCACATTGTACGATTTTTTATGAATTTATTTGCAAATTATGGTGGAAAATAAGTATTTGGTCACATACAAACAAGCAAGATTTCTGCCTCTCACAGACCTGTAACTTCTTCTTTAAGAGGCTCCTCTGTCCTCCACTCGTTACCTGTATTAATGGCACATGTTTGAACTTGTTATCTGTATAAAAGACACCTGTCCCCAACCTCAAACAGTCACACTCCAAACTCCACTATGGCCAAGACCAAAGAGCTGTCAAAGGACACCAGAAACAAAATTGTAGACCTGCACCAGGCTGGGAAGACTGAATCTGCAATAGGTAAGCAGCTTGGTTTGAAGAAATCAACTGTGGGAGCAATTATTAGGAAATGGAAGACACTGATAATCTCCCTCGATCTGGGGCTCCACGCAAGATCTCACCCCGTGGGGTCAAAATGATCACAAGAACGGTGAGCAAAAATCCCAGAACCACACGGGGGGACCTAGTGAATGACCTGCAGAGAGCTGGGACCAAAGTAACAAAGCCTACCATCAGTAACACACTACGCCGCCAGGGACTCAAATCCTGCAGTGCCAGACGTGTCCCCCTGCTTAAGCCAGTACATGTCCAGGCCCGTCTGAAGTTTGCTAGAGTGCATTTGGATGATCCAGAAGAGGATTGGGAGAATGTCATATGGTCAGATGAAACCAAAATAGAACTTTTTGGTAAAAACTCAACTCGTCGTGTTTGGAGGACAAAGAATGCTGAGTTGCATCCAAAGAACACCATACCTACTGTGAAGCATGGGGGTGGAAACATCATGCTTTGGGGCTGTTTTTCTGCAAAGGGACCAGGACGACTGATCCGTGTAAAGGAAAGAATGAATGGGGCCATGTATCGTGAGATTTTGAGTGAAAACCTCCTTCCATCAGCAAGGGCATTGAAGATGAAACGTGGCTGGGTCTTTCAGCATGACAATGATCCCAAACACACCGCCCGGGCAACGAAGGAGTGGCTTCGTAAGAAGTATTTCAAGGTCCTGGAGTGGCCTAGCCAGTCTCCAGATCTCAACCCCATAGAGAATCTTTGGAGGGAGTTGAACGTCTGTGTTGCCCAGCGACAGCCCCAAAACATCACTGCTCTAGAGGAGATCTGCATGGAGGAATGGGCCAAAATACCAGCAACAGTGTGTGAAAACCTTGTGAAGACTTACAGAAAACGTTTGACCTGTGTCATTACCAACAAAGGGTATATAACAAAGTATTGAGAAACTTTTGTTATTGACCAAATACTTATTTTCCACCATAATTTGCAAATAAATTCATTAAAAATCCTACAATGTGATTTTCTGGATTATTTTTTCTCATTTTGTCTGTCATAGTTGACGTGTACCTACGATGAAAATTACAGGCCTCATCTTTTTAAGTGGGAAAACTTGCACAATTGGTGGCTGACTAAATACTTTTTTCCCCCACTGTATCCCAAATTAATACAACCACTCCGCATTAAAAAAAACACATTTAAAAGCAATGAGGCTGATGCAACAGATCAGAACATTTAGCTTAAAATGTTGATAAACTATTAGGCTATTTCTTCACATTATAAGCGCAGCAATGCGCACACGGCAGTAGGCTATAAGGGCAAATGTTCCAAAATGCTATCAATTAGCGGGAAAACACTGTTCTCAAAAGTGACCGCAAATGCGATTATGCATGTAATGCTTTATTATAAAGGTGAATTTTTATGGTGAAATTATCTTCCCCAAACTTGAAACTCACTCGCCGCCTATGTATGCCAGTTAGGCTCTACACCCGTTGTAAAGCAGATTAATGTGCTTAATTTTAAGAAGTTATTTGGCCGCTAGTTGTGAAGCTGGTTGAGAGAATGCCAAGAGTGTGCAAAGCTGTCATCAAGGCAAAGGGTGTCTATTTGAAGAATCTCAAATATAAAATACATTTTGATTTAACACTTTTTTGGTTACTACATGATTCCATATGTGTTATTTCATAGTTTTGATGTCATCACTGTTATTCTACAATGTGGAAAATAGTAAAAATAAAGAAAAACCCTTGAATGAGTTGGTGTTCTAAAACATTTGACCTGTAGTGTATTTGCATTAACTTTATTTTATGCATTTATTCATACTATTTCGTCCTTTCACAAGATATAGTCCCGACACAAATCTAGGGTTGCTACCCAAGCCGGCTGGTTGTTTGTTCTATCGGTTCGGTTGCTAGAGACACGACCCAGTTTTTTTCTTCTGTATCCATGGACGCGACCCAGTCGTTCGTTCTAAATGTTCTATTGCCATACTGGCTGGCAACTTTCTTATCCCTTTCTTGCTAGCTAGCCAACTACGGCTAACTTAGTCACGTCAAAAAGTGCAGCCAGAATAACAGCAAAGTAGCTGCATTTGCATTTGTTTAAGCTGTTTTCTAGTGACATTTTTTGGGATACATCCATAACAATGAGCTAATGAGGCACGATTTCGCCTGGTGCAGAGAATGTGCTCTCTCGTCAGGACACTGTTGTTCAGAGGAGCTAGCCAACAACACAGCTAACACAATCACTTCAAACTGAAGCTGGAAAGACTGCAAACTAGCTGCACTTCGTTTCGTTTTACCTTTTTTCAGTTGACATTTCTTTGTATATATCCATAAAAATGATGCCAGCTGATTCATGATTTCAACTGGCTGAGAAACGCTACCTGTCTGTCTGTCTCGTCCCGACTCCCGACACATTCATTACTATGGGACAGCTGGTGATCGAATTTGAATATTGAAACAATGTTGCAAATGTGAGATAATGTCTAGATGCTTTTTATATTGGAGGTCAAGTGTATAAAGTGCCTGGCTGAGCTGATGAGACAGTGGATTGCATAGTCAGGTGGAACGGAGTAAATAGGCATTTTAACATCAGATTTAACCGGTGGTAACTTGTGTAATAGACACCGGCTGGAATGCGATTTTAACCAATCAGCATTCAGGATTAGACCCACCCATTGTATAATGTTAGATATTACTGCACTGTTGGAGCTAGGAAGACAGCATTTCGCTACACCCGCAATTACAACTGCTAAATATGTGTTATGCGACCAATAAGATTTGATTTGAAATGCTGATGGAATAGGAATTGGAACCATATTCCATTCTGTCCACTCTGTGCTCTTCTCCTGTGTTCTACTCTAGGTACCTGAAGAGGACATAGTGAGTGTGACTGAGATGCTCCAGCAGCACAGGAAAGAGCCAGCCTGCTAATGGCGACCTGGCGGCTTGGTCCGTACTACACCTCTGTGTCCTGGGGCAGTACGGGGCTGGAGAGGGATGCTAACTCCGTGCCTAGATTAGCACTGCAGCGTGAGCAGTATTAACCATAAACGTTGTTGCCATGACCACCAAAAGCGCTTCTAGGAAGGGGTGATTGGACGCTGACAGGACCACCGACCAATGCACACACTGATTGGACGCTGCCAGGACCCCCGACCAATGCACACAACGGGACGAGGGGATTGGTGAACTGAAGTCCAGTTGTGATGATGGTAACGCTGTACTTAAGGCCTGCAGGTATAATGCATTATGATGCGGTTATAATGCTTGCGTTATAAGACTTGTTATAGGCATATATAACCCCCTTATTTCTTGTTATCGTCTCATAAAGATCCTGACTAAATAACAGCCATTTTGAGTCATAGCCTAAGCCTTGTAATAACGCATTATAAAGTCAACATGCTGATAACACGTAATAAAGCATAATACCTGCAGTTTATAAAGTGTAACCATGATGGATTTTCTTATGCTACTTACCTGCTTGCCGCAGGGCACAAACATCTTACTCGTACTGTAAACAACACAGCTGTCTTCCAGTGATGTTTATACTGTAATGCTATGTGTCAGAACGCCACCCTTTGTGTCAAAGGTCAAGTTATTTCATGTGTGAGTGAATTATGTGAAGCACAATTTCTGCTTGGCAAAATATGTCTCTCCATTGGTGCTTTTTATTCGCCATATCTTCACAAATTGTACTTGTAGTAAGGCACGTAAATGGCCTAATCGCACCGCAATAACTGAAGCCGCTCATTGAAGTGTCAGCACAAGTCTTATTGTCGACAATCACATTAGAGAAAAAAAAGACATTATAAAAAAGGTCGTTTTGAAGTGTATTGGTAGAAATTAGTGTTAATTGGTAAACATCAGAATTTTATTTTCTTGAAAAACATATGCAGGCAATACTAGAAAAAAAAGACAAATTCCATGATTATCCAAGGTAAAGAGTAGCTTTATTTAGTGCCGTGATGCAGTTTCAACATCAATAAGAAGTTACTCAAAAAATGTTTAAGGGTCAACATTTCTGTACTTTTGTAGCGTTGTAGCATTGTATTTCCTTTAAGATCAACACTGTCTTATTCTTCAATTTTCTTTTTTAATTTGCACAATTAAGACGTTTCTTATTAATTTCCTTGTAGACTGAGAAAGTTACTAATATCATTAGAAATATTATTTTGGTACAATTACATTTTGTACAATTTAAAACATGTATTATGTCAAATAATTGTAAATGTGCTATTAAATTAAATGTATTTCTGGACTTCATTATGGATACATTGTCACCTAATTTTTTTCAGATAACATTTGGTTGTTAATTAATTTACTTTTGTATGGAGATGAATTTACACTAAAATAGCTTAGATATGGGTTGAGACATTACACATACTTTGTCAAACTATTGATGCAATGTTTTCATGACAACCGTTGTGTGTTTTTTCAGTCTTGTTGAGTAGACTTGTAATGTATGGTAGATGAGTGGGTGTGCGTTTAAATGGGAGGAGAAAGTTCCACTCTAAACATGACATTTGTGTAAAATTCGAAGAAAGTTCCATTATTTCCTTGTGGTTGTTGAGTGTTTATTTTTAGAGACACCCCTTGTATATTAGAGTTGATCAAGCCATCCATTAGTGTCTCCTTCGCTCACCAGCACAGAAGAACTCCAATATGTTTGGTAAATATTTTTACTGTACTCTCACAACAACAGTTAACCATTTGTGACATACTTGGATTGTTAAAATAATAACCTACTATTGTTTCTGATTGGTTTGTGATTGTCATTTTGCTGGTGACTAGGCATGTGTGCATGCGTAAAATGTGTGTTATGTCCCTAAGTATACATACACAATGGGTAGCATACAGTGAGGGAAAAAAGTATTTGATCCCCTGCTGATTTTGTACGTTTGCCCACTGACAAAGAAATGATCAGTCAATAATTTTAATGGTAGGTTTATTTGAACAGTGAGAGACAGAATAACAACAAAAAAATCCAGAAAAACTTATGTCAAAAATGTTATAAATTGATTTGCATTTTAATGAGGGAAATAAGTATTTGACCCCTCTGCAAAACACGACTTAGTACTTGGTGGCAAAACCCTTGTTGGCAATCACAGAGGTCAGACGTTTCTTGTAGTTGGCCACCAGGTTTGCACACATCTCAGGAGGGATTTTGTCCCACTCCTCTTTGCAGATCTACTCCAAGTCATTAAGGTTTAGAGGCTGACGTTTGGCAACTCGAACCTTCAGCTTCCTCCACAGATTTTCTATGGGATTAAGGTCTGGAGACTGGCTAGGCCACTCCAGGACCTTAATGTGCTTCTTCTTGAGCCACTCCTTTGTTGCCTTGGCCGTGTGTTTTGGGTCATTGTCATGCTGGAATACCCATCCACGACCCATTTTCAATGCCCTGGCTGAGGGAAGGAGGTTCTCACCCAAGATTTGACGGTACATGGACCCGTCCATCGTCCCTTTGATGCGGTGAAGTTGTCCTGTCCCCTTAGCAGAAAAACACCCCCAAAGCATAATGTTTCCACCTCCATGTTTGACGGTGGGGATGGTGTTCTTGGGGTCATAGGCAGCATTCCTCCTCCTCCAAACACAGCGAGTTGAGTTGATGCCAAAGAGCTCGATTTTGGTCTCATCTGACCACAACACTTTCACCCAGTTCTCCTCTGAATCATTCAGATGTTCATTGGCAATCTTCAGACGGCCCTGTATATGTGCTTTCTTGAGCAGGGGGACCTTGCAGGCGCTGCAGGATTTCAGTCCTTCACGGCGTAGTGTGTTACCAATTGTTTTCTTGGTGACTATGGTCCCAGCTGCCTTGAGATCATTGACAAGATCCTCCCGTGTAGTTCTGGGCTGATTCCTCACCGTTCTCATGATCATTGCAACTCCACAAGGTGAGATCTTGCATGGAGCCCCAGGCCGAGGGAGATTGACAGTTATTTTGTGTTTCTTCCATTTGCGAATAATCGCACCAACTGTTTTCACCGTCTCACCAAGCTGCTTGGCAATGGTCTTGTAGCCCATTCCAGCCTTGTGTAGGTTACAATCTTGTCCCTGACATCCTTGGAGAGCTCTTTGGTCTTGGCCATGATGGAGAGTTTGGAATCTGATTGATTGATTGCTTCTGTGGACAGGTGTCTTTTATACAGGTAACAAACTGAGATTAGGAGCACTCCCTTTAAGAGTGTGCTCCTAATCTCAGCTCGTTACCTGTATAAAAGACACCTGGGAGCCAGAAATCTTTCTGATTGAGAGGGGGTCAAATACTTATTTCCCTCATTAAAATGCAAATCAATTTATAAAATTTTTGACATGCGTTTTTCTGGATTATTTTGTTGTTTTTCTGTCTCTCACTGTTCAAATAAACCTACCATTAAAATTATAGACTGATAATTTCTTTGTCAGTGGGCAAACGTACAAAATCAGCAGGGGATCAAAAACTTTTTTCCCTCACTGTACATTGTAGTAACCATGTTGCCCTTCACCAGTTTTACCTAGCATCTTTCTAGTGATCAAGTTGGAGACAGCACAGGCAGCACCCCACTCTGGAAATGTGGACAAGTGTCAGAAGGCTTTAGACCGGACCATAGAGCTTTCTAAACTGTCAGATCATGAAGCTGGCATCCTCCTGACTTCTTACGTAAGTAACAAGATGGAATGGAGGGGGTTCGGTCAATATCTTTGCCTGAGACTTGATAAATTACATTAGCTCCCCAGGTTAATGACTGGGCATTAGCTCTGTGGGCTAACCAAGTAATGAGGCCTGCAGGGGACTGGGAGTTACCGTGACAAACCGTAGTGATGGCCTCTTCTGGCAAATGAATTTCCCAAATTCCCCATGATTAGAAAAGTGATGACTTAACCATATGAGATCACGTGGGTTCTCAGAACCGTCGGTCACCGTGACAAACAACAATTACTGTTTGATGCTCAACTCTGCCAATATTCCCCAGATTTAGTCAGTGACGAATGTTAACCCACATGATATCATATGATTTTCTCAGAACCGTATTATTCATGGTAAAGTGAAAAAGAAAACAGGTCAATTGCACAATGAGAATGTCAGTGGACTGATTCAGATACGTGTCCTGGGGCTGGAGAGGGATGCTAACTCCGTGCCTAGATTAGCACTGCAGCGTGAGCAGTATTAACCATAAACGTTGTTGCCATGACCACCAAAAGCGCTTCTAGGAAGGGGTGATTGGACGCTGACAGGACCACCAACCAATGCACACACTGATTGGACGCTGCCAGGACCCCCGACCAATGCACACAACGGGACAAGGGGATTGGTGAACTGAAGTCCAGTTGTGATGATGGTAACGCTGTACTTAAGGCCTGCAGGTATAATGCATTATGATGCGGTTATAATGCTTGCGTTATAAGACTTGTTATAGGCATATATAACCCCCTTATTTCTTGTTATCGTCTCATAAAGATCCTGACTAAATAACAGCCATTTTGAGTCATAGCCTAAGCCTTGTAATAACGCATTATAAAGTCAACCATGCTGATAACACGTAATAAAGCATAATACCTGCAGTTTATAAAGTGTAACCATGATGGATTTTCTTATGCTACTTACCTGCTTGCCGCAGGGCACAAACATCTTACTCGTACTGTAAACAACACAGCTGTCTTCCAGTGATGTTTATACTGTAATGCTATGTGTCAGAACGCCACCCTTTGTGTCAAAGGTCAAGTTATTTCATGTGTGAGTGAATTATGTGAAGCACAATTTCTGCTTGGTAAAATATGTCTCTCCATTGGTGCTTTTTATTCGCCATATCTTCACAAATTGTACTTGTAGTAAGGCACGTAAATGGCCTAATCGCACAGCAATAACTGAAGCCGCTCATTGAAGTGTCAGCACAAGTCTTATTGTCGACAATCACATTAGAGAGAAAAAAGACATTATAAAAAAGGTTGTTTTGAAGTGTATTGGTAGAAATTAGTGTTAATTGGTAAACATCAGAATTTTATTTTCTTGAAAAACATATACAGGCAATACTAGAAAAAAAAAGACAAATTCCATGATTATCCAAGGTAAAGAGTAGCTTTATTTAGTGCCGTGATGCAGTTTCAACATCAATAAGAAGTTACTCAAAAAATGTTTAAGGGTCAACATTTCTGTACTTTTGTAGCGTTGTAGCATTGTATTTCCTTTACGATCAACACTGTCTTATTCTTCCATTTTCTTTTTTAATTTGCACAATTAAGACGTTTCTTATTAATTTCCTTGTAGACTGAGAAAGTTACTAATATCATTAGAAATATAATTTGGTACAATTACATTTTGTACAATTTAAAACATGTATTATGTCAAATAATTGTAAATGTGCTATTAAATTAAATGTATTTCTGGACTTCATTATGGATACATTGTCACCTAATTTTTTTCAGATAACATTTGGTTGTTAATTAATTTACTTTTGTATGGAGATGAATTTACACTAAAATAACTTAGATATGGGTTGAGACATTACACATACTTTGTCAAACTATTGATGCAATGTTTTCATGACAACCATTGTGTGTTTTTTCAGTCTTGTTGAGTAGACTTGTAATAAATGGTTGATGAGTGGGTGGGTGTTTAAATGGGAGGAGAAAGTTCCACTCTAAACATGACATTTGTATAAAATTCTAAGAAAGTTACATTATTTCCTTGTGGTTGTTGAGTGTTTATTTTTAGAGACACCCCTTGTATATTAGAGTTGATCAAGCCATCCATTAGTGTCTCCTTCGCTCACCAGCACAGAAGAACTCCAAATTGTTTGGTAAATATTTTTACTGTACTCTCACAACAACAGTTAACCATTTGTGACATACTTGGATTGTTAAAATAATAACCTACTATTGTTTCTGATTGGTTTGTGATTGTCATTTTGCTGGTGACTAGGCATGTGTGCATGTGTAAAATGTGTGTTATGTCCCTAAGTAGACATACACAATGGGTAGCATACATTGTAGTAACCATGTTGCCCTTCACCAGTTTTACCTATTATCTTTCTAGTGATCAAGATGGAGACAGCACAGGCAGCACCCCACTCTGGAAATGTGGACAAGTGTCAGAAGGCTTTAGACCAGATCATAGAGCTTTCTAAACTGTCAGATCATGAAGCTGGCATCCTCCTGACTTCTTACGTAAGTAACAAGATGGAATGGAGGGGGTTCGGTCAATATCTTTGCCTGAGACTTGATAAATTACATTAGCTCCCCAGGTTAATGACTGGGCTTTAGCTCTGTGGGCTAACCAAGTATTGAGGCCTGCAGGGAACTGGGAGTTACCGTGACAAACCGTAGTGATGGCCTCTTCTGGCAAATGAATTTCCCAAATTCCCCATGATTAGAAAGTGATGACTTAACCATATGAGATCACGTGGGTTTTCTCAGAACCGTCGGTCACCGTGACAAACAACAATTACTGTTTGATGCTCAACTCTGCCAATATTCCCCAGATTTAGTCAGTGACGAATGTTAACCCACATGATATCATATGATTTTCTCAGAACCGTATTATTCATGGGAAAGTGTAACTACAGTGTAACAACCACAGATTCAGATCATAGGCTATAACGGTAACTTTTTATACTGCTCAGCATAGTTCTGAACTATACTAGAAAACAGGTCAATTACACAATGAGAATGTCAGTGGACTGATTTGAATTCCCCCCCCCCCCCCCCCCTCTTATGCGTTTCCAGATTAAAACAAATGGCTTCCTGACCGACCAGCAGGCCCACAGCATGGATGGGGTTCCCTCGGTAACCATCGCTGGCTCCACCCCTAAGGAGAAGCTTCAGAACATCTCCAACAAGGCCATGCTCTTCCACTGGCACATCAACACGGTAACCAAATACATGACTGACCTGTTGGAGGTCTCAGATAATGAAACTCAGATTCTTCTGGGCCTCCTGAGTGATTCCAGGAACCATCTCAAGAAACTATCTGGCCTCGTAGAGGCGCTCCTGCAGATTTTGGACCCAAACACACCCAGTACTACGTCCACTAAGCCCCAAGACGTGCCCCGTGATGACTATGAGAAGAAGATGTACGGCTGGACTGTGCTAGACCGGCACAAGGACTTTGTTGCCATGGTGTTACAGGAAGTTGCTGGCTTTAAGGATAATACTGTGTTCGAGGGTTAGACAAAGTGATTGTCACCCAAGGGTGATTTTAGGATATTTATTCCAATATTATCAGGTATTTCATGTAAATAAACAATCAGGGGACACAGGCCCACTGACAATAATATGAATGTGAAAGAGAAGCATTTGTTTGCTGCACAGTATGTATTTATGTATATTTTTCTTCTATTTTTGAAATCATTTTGTTATTTTATTTTCGAAACAGTCCAGAATACAGTCTTGAAGCAAATTAATTGTTATGCTCTTGCATTATATCAAATTTTGCATTAACATTTAATCTACTCAGTTCACTCTCTTTAAGCTATTTTGTTCCTACTGCTCCTTGTCTATGGAGCCTCAATTATTCCCTTATGCCCCACACATGGCAGATCAGTTGAGGTCAATGGTGTAGTGGACGGTAAACTCAAGTACACCCAGTTTAGGGTTAGGGATTTATTTATCCAAGGTGCTCAGGGGTTTTACCCATCTGCTTTTTACCACAACATCCCTGGTTGAGGGTAGCCTGGTCGAACGAGGCTAGATTGCGGCAGCATCTCCCCGACTCAAAGGCTGATGCACAGGGGTGATGGTGGTTGTGGTTAGAGTGAAGTAGTACAGGCACTTCCAGGAAGGTCAGCAGGCCCCAGACAGTGAAAGGCTCTTTCCCAAATGGCACTCTATTCTCTATTTAGTGAACTACTTTTGATAGAGCCCAAGTAGTTCACTAAATGGGGAATAGGGTGCCATTTGGGACGCAGCCACTGCCTCCCTAATCAGTCATCTCATGACGTCCTCCCTGCATCCTCACACAACACACAGATAACAGGCTGACGTCTGTCAGTTTCATTCTGATGCTGTATACTAAAGGGTTGCCAGTGGCATAGATGGGCAATGTATGATACAAATGTATGCATTCACATACTGTACGTTGTTTTCGATAAACATTTCTGCTAAATGGGCCTATTTTAACACTATATGGGTTTGTTTTTAAACTTGGCACTTTTGGTCTCCGCTACGTCAAGTTAAGAATTGGTGGCCTTTTTATTTTATTTTTTATAAACCGGACATTTTGTGTTCAATTTGTCATGAGATTGATATGAACAAATGGGTGATGTTCCCTTCAAGAACTGGATCTGTAGGTAGTTAACACTGTAAATGTTGTTCATATTTAATAAAAAATATATATGAATACCGTAATGAATAACTACTTTTACTGTATTTGTTTTGCCATTCATATTAAAGGCCCGGTGTAGTCAAAATTCTGTTTTTCCTTTTGTTTTGTCATATTTCAAATCAAATTTTATTTGTCACATACACGTGTTTAGCAGATGTTAAAGCGGGTGTAGCGAAATGCTTGTGCTTCTAGCTCCGACAGTGCAGTAATATCTAACAAATAATATCTAACAATTTCACAACATATACCCAATACACACAAAACTAGTAAGGAATGGGATTTAAGAATATATACATATATTTGTGCAACAGCTGATGAAACTAACACTAAATGTAATCAGTGTTATTTCCCAATAGTTGCTGGTTGAAAATCAACACAGAACCTTAAATTCAGTAGGTTCTGCATAGGTGGAGTTTTGGGTTGCCTCGTGACATCACCAGGCAAAATAATAAAGACTCTTCCAAACCTCTATGCCAATAACCGCTAGCTTTCAGGTTACATATCCCTACCATTAAGCTACCCCGCTCCACTTCTAACTATGGTAATGCACTGCTCTGGTCCTCTTCCCCGCTCCACTTCTAACTATGGTAATGCACTGCTCTGGTCCTCTTCCCCACTCCAATTCTAACTATGGTTATGCACTGCTCTGGTCCTCTTCCCCACTCCAATTGTAACTATGGTAATGCACTGCTCTGGTCCCCTTCCCCACTCCAATTCTAACTATGGTAATGCACTGCTCTGGTCCTCTTCCCCACTCCAATTCTAACTATGGTAATGCACTGCTCTGGTCCCCTTCCCCACTCCAATTCTAACTATGGTAATGCCTGCTCTGGTCCTCTTCCCCACTCCAATTCTAACTATGGTAATGCACTGCTCTGGTCCTCTTCCCCACTCCAATTCTAACTGTGGTAATGCACTGCTCTGGTCCTCTTCCCCACTCCAATTTTAACTATGGTAATGCAGTGCTCTGGTCCTCTTCCCCACTCCAATTCTAACTATGGTAATGCACTGCTCTGGTCCTCTTCCCCACTCCAATTCTAACTATGGTAATGCACTGCTCTGGTCCTCTTCCCCACTCCAATTCTAACTATGGTAATGCACTGCTCTGGTCCTCTTCCCCACTCCAATTCTAACTAGGTAATGCACTGCTCTGGTCCTCTTCCCCACTCCAATTCTAACTATGGTAATGCACTGCTATGGTCCTCTTCCCCACTCCAATTCTAACTAGGTAATGCACTGCTATGGTCCCCTTCCCCACTCCAATTCTAACTATGGTAATGCACTGCTCTGGTCCTCTTCCCCACTCCAATTCTAACTGTGGTAATGCACTGCTCTGGTCCTCTTCCCCACTCCAATTCTAACTGTGGTAATGCACTGCTCTGGTCCCCTTCCCTGCTCAGACCACACCCAGACAGTCCTAGCAATATTCTTGCTTGAGATTTTATTTTTTTATTTTTTTACCATTTAATGGGAAATTATTACAGCAAGTAACCTGTTACCCAGAGTCATTTGATATATTGAGCTAAAACAGCTGGACTGGGCCTTTAATACATGATAAAACACAACATGACTCAAGCATGGAATTATGAATGTATTCTGGTTCATAAATATCAATGCATATCTTCAGCCTGAGCCAAGCAGTCTGTAGCTGGTAGTTGTATCACTTTCTTGCACATCAACTTCCTGAAGTTGAGAAATAGGTAGAGTTCATGAGAATAATACAGGATGATTCAGTGGATAGTTAAACATGTAACTCATACGCCAAGCAAACAAACTGAAGATGGTGTTTAGTTAAGCAAATAACCACCTAAAAGGAAACATCTTAATTGATTTTTCTGATGGGTTTTCACCTTGTGTGATATCACATAAGATATGAAGGAAGTTGATCATATCCGCATTACATTTTTCAACATATATGACTAAGCAAGATGAATATAAGACTGTGGCCTCTGTTACTGGGCAGAGCAACTCATTCTTGGCTATGACTGACAACATAAGCAAGAAAAACTAAAGATATGATGCTATATGATATTTTCTTTATGAAGTTAACAGCAGGTAATATTATGCAACATCTGTGTCCACAACTACACTCAATTACAACATATTACAGCAAAAACGTTTAATTATATCAGATTGCAAATTATACACAAAAGGCCCTTCTACTATCCAAAACCATGTGTACTTTCATGTCTTTGAGTCTTGTTGTGATTTTGCGTTGACTTCTTTTCCAGGACTTCTCAAAGCATTGTGCATATTGGTGATGATGGACACTCTGGAGGCTGGCCCTTTTCCCCGGATGAAACCACCTGGGGGCTGCAGGTCCAAGGAGCTAACCACCCTCACCAAAACACTAATCAATGACAGCCTAACCAGCTATGTAAGTAGCTACATCTGTCTTAATATGCCATTTAACAGACGCTTTTATCCAAAGCAACTTACAGTGAATGCATACATTTTTGTATGTGATCCCTGCAGGAATTGAACCCACAGCCTTACTTGGAGTTGCTAGTCCTGCTACTCGCTTACCAACTAAGCCACACCACCAGAACCAAACTGTATTAAGTAGCTATGTTTCCATTAACTTTCCCATTGATTTTTTTTCGACATTTAAAAAAGTTGCGTAGAAAAAAAGATGCGACAATTGCCTGCTAGGGTGTTTGCCTTTTAACTATTTTTTTTGTCGATAAAAACGGCTGTGCGTAATGACGTTACACCTATAAAACGATTGCCGAATACTTTTGAAGGTACGCGGGGCACGTGATGTGTCAAATAAAATTGTAGTGGTTAATGTGTTTCCATTACCCATTTAGACAAATTGCGCATTAATAAATTGGCGACAGCCTGTATGCTCTCCCACCTATCCGTTTCATGGCTCAGGTAGCCCGCGAAAGTCAGCATGGATAGAATGCAATGATTTACTAATATTTGTCATATTATAATAATTGTCATGTGCCAACGTATCGCCAAGGTCTGTGCCATGGTGAAACTTGCACTCTTGTAGATCTGAAATAATTGGATGTTGAAACTTACCAGTCAACCAGAAAAGCAAGGCGAAGCAATTCAGGCATTCTTGAAAATCAGGACAATCCAATCCCCCCTCAAAATAATTATAGTTGAAAAAAAATATTTTGCAAGCAGTAGACATTTATAATTAAATGTGGCGGTTGTAGTTACGTGATGACATCACGTGCCCCGCGTACCTGCAAACGAATTCGGCTATCATAATTTATTAGAAAAACTGTTTCCATCATCATTTATCGCAATAAAGTTCGACAAAATAAAAATCCACGCGTTGAACGCATAAAATGTTGTCTATCTTTAGAAAATGTCTCCTATAGCTTCCGTTTCCATTTTTTTGCGACATTGCTTTTGTCGAATAAACCTGGGTCAATGGAAACCTGCCTACTGACTGACTTTAGGACCGTGTTTACTTGCATACTGTACCTGTATAATTACTACTGTCCTGTTCCCGTCATGATCCTTCATGTTCTTTACTTATTGGATCCATGCAAATTCCAACTTCTTCCTCTTACTTTCTGCCAATTTGGAGAAAGACAAGTCAGTTCATGGGTCAAAATACCAACTGTTGTTACTGGGATATTAATTGCCCAGCCCTCTCTATTTAACTGAGACATTCTGTCCATGATAAGTAAGGACTGAAAAGCATTGACTTAAAACAGAATTTACTGAAGACATTCCATCATGTCAGAGTACATATTTATGGTCTATTTTCAAATCTCTTTTCCCCAGGAGGCAGCCAATGGACAGAACATCCAACCTTTGTCCCCAGGGTTCCCAGACCTGGACCTCAACAGTCCCTCACCTTCCCCTCGGGAGAGAGCTCGTT